AGAGAGAGAGAGAGAGAGAGAGAGAGAGAGAGAGAGAGAGAGAGAGAGAGAGAGAGAGAGAGAGAGAGAGAGAAGAAAATGTATGAAGAAAACTTGAGGAGACGCCTGTTAATGAGCGATTCATTAGAAGGGTACGATCTCCTTCGCGTGTACGGCACAGCAAATTGATACCGTAGCCTGTGTTTAATCAATGAACGTCCCAACGGGGGGAAGGGAACGGAACATCCGGTTGTATGTCGCGAACAGGTTCGTCCAATTTGCACAATGCCGATTAAAGAGGCGAGACGTTCTGTAACGTCGCACAGCATGGTATTTCTTCGATTTAGGAGGAAATTTCGAAAAAAATATTATAATCTTTATTGCACAGAAATATTACGCATTTTTCTATGTTCTGAAATAATTTCGTTAAAATAGGTTTCTTATTTTCCATCATTCAACTAGATAGCCGCTGTGTGAAATTGATAATTCAAGAATTCCAAAAAGTTGTTTTTTATAAAAATATATAATTTTGCATAATTTTGTTCTACATAAATTAACAGAGCTGTAATTCTAAAACTACAACAATATTCTAATGATAAATTAAACGGAGTTTAAATTAGAAAATTTATAAATTAATTCAAATTAATAAATTTCGAAGCATCTTCTCTATGACTCTGAAATCTCTATAACTTGCATAGCATTTAATCGGGACAAAGTGATGAGTAATACGATTAAATATTCGCACATGCAAGTAGATGAAATACTTTCGTCCTTCTGGCTTGGGGCCTCGAATTTCGCGTCGAGTTCTCCCGTCGATCTATTGGCTTCAATTGAACGGCGGTGACGTTTGACCGCTTATGAAGAAAGAGATCGTCTGCCAGCGTTTTAATCGAAATTAATATTTCGATTAAAACACCGTACGCCTCCCTCGTCGAATGGTCCGTCCCCCAATTCGCTCACTTCGGACGATAACCGACGACGCGTTTCTCTCGAACCTCTCGGCTCATATTTTTATTTGTAACATAACGATAAATCGCGCAGAAACTTTCCCCCTCACGACATCGGCGACAAACACTCCCGCATTCTCAGTCCCACGCGTTCGCGTGCAAAAATAGCTGCAGAGTTGTACACAAATTGCGATTCGGTCATTTTCCCCTAAGCGCCACCTTTTCTTAACCTTTGTTCTGGCGCCTCTCTCTCATTCACTCTCCTTCTCTCTATTTCTTTATACGATGCAATTAAATAAATCTATGCGCAATTTCTCAAAAGTACCCGATCGGTGTCGTGGATATCGGTTATTTACCATGTATGTTTTGCATGTTGTAATAGAAACACCGCGTGTAATATAAATCGCTCTTGTTCAGGGATATCCGGGGAAGTTATCCAGATCGACGCTGGGCACTGCCGGAAATTGTGCCCGCGACTCGTGTCCGATGATCCCGGAGATCCAAGCCGGCCAGCGGTGCAGGTAAGTTCTCGTACGAAGCCCGTTCCTCGCTTCAATTATGCAGAAGACTGTAACATATTTTATGCTGTAATAATCAGATTCTGATCAACGATGCAGTTTTCGCATTTAGGTTTGACGTTTAGTATAGTTCGGCACTACATTGAATAGTCCGGAGAACACTCAAACGGGGTTCAATGTTTGATCATCACTCGTCAAATGTTGGGAATCACCCGACGTAATATAGATATCTCCATACACGTGGGCGCATTATTACCTAATCATCGCGTTCGATGCCAAACGTGAAATTCAAGAATCTGATTCGAGATTCTATAAAGAAAGATAAATCGCATAATATACTGACTATTTGAATAAACTTCTACTTTTCGTTAATTTTAACATCATCGATTATGCTTAATATAACGCGAATCCACTACCGATCAATCCATGCTACGTGAAGAACTTTGGCACATATGTTATTCCAAAAGTATGATTTGTTGCATGTTCGGCAAATTTTTGGTGATTGTAAAAAAATACCAACGTACGTGTATTTCGTCGAAGATGATGTTTCGATGCAGGGGCATCATGTACATTTGAGAAATTGAACAAAGAGAATCAATTGTAAGCATAATGATGAGCAGATCGCTTGGAAAAGGAATTATTGTAGAATGCTCTGTTGCTCGCTGAAATATTTCGACACGGCGATGTGAGCCTCCTCGGCGAGCCTCCTCATGCAACCGAGGGCTACGCGAAGGGTGAAAAAAAACTCGAAGGAACATCGTGAACGTCGTGTGCAGATTTACGAGGCGCAGGATCGTCCAATCGCGAGTTGGAATGCGGCCACGCCGGACTACGCGCGATCTTCGTGACTTTTACGGCGAGATAATATCTGGCCGAATCCTTACTTGCGTACTTGCATACTTGCAATAATTTGGTGTCTTTGTTATATGTAGATTTCGTTGACCCCCTCAATGGCTATTCGCGGCTTGATAAAGAGAATTTTATTTTTATTATTGTGTAATGAATTAATGCAGTAGTAATTATAATCGTCTTGTATCTTGGAAAAAGAAAATTGCAAAGTTTATTCACGGAATTACAGTTCCTTTCCCATACATTATTTATTATGCCGTGTAAAAATTTTTTCTATGATACGATATTGCTACCTAATTAATATTAATAATTAGGAATGATAAACTTCCATACGCGCGATGAACATTTATCTTTAAAAAGAATATTAAGAAAGAAATAATATATTAAAACTATATTTTTGCTCGATCAATTTAAAGAGGTATCAAGATTGGATACCAAACACAAGTGAAAGTAAAAGGCTAACACTCGCAGAGCACAGGAATCAAGTCCCACGGGATCTCTCACGTATTTACAATCCCCCAACATTTGCCGTTTGGAAGAACTACCTTTGAAGCTATTGACCGTTGATATTTCATCGCAGGCACTCGAATATCTACGATGTCGGGTCATGCGCGGTATAAATAATTCTGTCCGACAATTACGGATGACTTCGTCGAGTTTCGTCTCATCGATCCATCCTCGGGGGACGAAGGGATCGTACCCTATACGTAGCGCAGATTCCTCGCGAAGATAAACGCTCGTTCTTTCCGATATATCTTCCCGGATATTCCGGATCTTTGGACCGGTCGACATCGGCCGAACGCGGAGGAGGGCTATTTTCGTTACGTGACGCAATCCGATCGGTCGGTGGCGCGAATATGGTCTTTTACAGCAGCCGTGCTACGCGCCAGGATGGCGCGATGGCCGGGCCCGACGGGACACTGGGGAAAGGGGGCCACGTTACACGCGAAACGCGAGGCGACCATCAGGACGACGTGTTTTGCGTCCTTCGAAGGTCGGATCGGCGCGGCCGCGGTCACCGATCCTCTCGGCGCCGGCGTGTCCAGCCACTAAATCCCGGAATTATGCGCCCGCTGGATCCCGCTGGATGGATGATGGCAATCGCCCGGGGGGAGAGATTTATTGAAACGACCGATATGATCCTCGATAGCAGGCGTATCTTTAAAGCCATCGTAAAGCAGCCGAGAGCCAGTTTTCTTTTTTACACCGCGTAAAAAACGTTGGGACAACTAGCTTGATTAGTTGCGAACTATTAGCGACACGCATTAACTACTGGATGCATATATGAGAAGATCTTCAAGATCTTTTTATTTTGTAACATTCCTCTCAGCACCGTCGATCAAGCCTTTTCTTTCTTCGAGGCAATTTTTGAACTTTTAATTTAAAATAATCAAAATCGTGTTTTTTTTTGCTATTTTTGCAAAGTTTATAAAAAAATTAGGTACCCTAGGATTAATTTGTACGCCAAATGTGCATCTCTCCCGTTTCCTATGATGATTGCTCATTGATGCTTCCGCCTGCCTTTCAGAAATGTGCATCTGATTCCCACTGTCGCGCAAGGGCCGCCAAGCTGGAGCGAGTGTCCACGTTGCAGGGCGTTCGCGTAATCGAGGCTATAGACGCCTGTGAATGTTCGCCGGAATCGTCCTGCAGACGGGAATCCTACACCCATCATGTACATTTCGGTACGCCGCACCAGGCAATCGTGGATATCGGAGTTTGCATCGGCCATTGCGGTAAAGGTACGACCTCGCCAAGAACTCTGGTACCCTGAAACGTAAGATGAAGTACGATGATCCACGCCGATTATCGTTACGCGTCAATATTTCTCATAAATAAAAGAATTTTCCACGCTTCTCCTTTCATTTATCTCATTTGGTTTTATCTTCGTAATTTTTATGAGATCCGAAAATTAATGTTTTACTTGTTTTTCAAGACTTGGGCTGTAAGCCGGTCCGGAATAACACAATCAGCGTCAAGGGGCCAAACGGTACGTACAATAAACGTCGAATAAACATGGGATTGAAACTACGAAAGTCCGAGTAATTTATACACGTACTTACAATCCGTATTGAGGCTTGTGCTGTTTTCAAGGTGACGAGGTCTACCAAGTGGTCGAGAAATGTGGCTGCGCCGGTCATTGTCACCGGATGGACCACATGGAAACTGTGCTGGATTACAGCGAGGTGACGATCAAAGAGGGTACGAACACGACCGACGTGAGGCCCGTGGTCCGAGTATGAAACATTCGATTAACTAATCCTTAAAAGAAAGATATAAGATATATGTATTAATTATTTTGCAGTTTTGCTTTTTATGAACATTCCTTCGTCTCGCTTGTAATTAACGATTAATTAACGATATCAATTTCTGTCTGTTATTTTTGGCAGCAAATAAACGTCGGCCAATGCGTCGGGACGTGTCCGGGTAACGAGACGGAGACGTGTCTTTTGCGGGACAAAAAGGATCCGTCCAGGTGTGTAGCCGGTCTATATTCGAAGCAGCACACTTGCACACCGGCCAGATTTAAGGTGCACGAGTACAGGTAGAGTCCACGAATTCCAACTGTTATCACGTACATCTCAAAGAACGAGAAAATCTAATTTCCGATCAAATATCCTTCCGATTTGAGAGTTACAAGTGCGTGGAACACGATCAGTGTTTAACGTTATCGCGTTTGATACTTTTTAGAACCCGACGAGGAGCGAAGAGAGAAACAATTCAAATCACTCAGTGTGCCTGCGTCTAGACTGAAATTATTATTTCGCCGCGAGTGGTCACATTCGAGTCGAATTGGAAATGAGAGAAAGAGAGAAAAGGAAAGCGAAAGAGAGAGAAAGACATATTTTGCACGTACACTCATGTTCCTAGGTACATCATGTACAAATCCATGTGGCTAAATAAATCGAAGATGTTTTCATGAATGAGACAGATGTCTTTCTCCCCGCACCCATCTATAGTTTATACTACTAATTCGGGATTTACTTATCATAATGAAGCTTTTATGAAGAGAAACGAGTTCAACGAGTTGCATTATTTTGTGATTCATACTTTCTTACGTTATGCCTGCATTAAAGCGACAAATCGACCTCCCTCTGACGCCTGATTGCCCCAATTTCAGCGAAACACGCCCATGAGAGATTGTTGACTACAATAGAGTCAATCGTGCTAAAATTAGAGATTTCTTGGTGAGTACAGTTCCACCGCGTGCGTCCAACAATTGGCAAATATTTTCGTCACGTCTTTTGCGATTTTGGCGTGCGACGGCGACGGTCCGCCTACGCGAGCGGACGTTTATCGATAACGGAGCGAGATATATGCGTAACGCGATTATTGGCCAACAATGCAGCACGCGAGCGACTCCGGGATCGGGTAAGGCCTCGAAATTAGAGAAAACAAAAATCCCAAAAATAAAATCGGTGGATCGAAAAAAATTTACCGGAATAAATTATCGGCCCTCGCCGAGTCTCTCGTTAGAGAATACCCACGATAAATAAATCGCCGACGTCGAATCCGCCTAAATATCGCCGCGTGACAAATCACATAACTCGGCACTTACGAATCCACGGAATTTAGGAAGCGCTCGCTGTTTTTAATAGCCACGTGGTGTCATCGCGTGGAGCGCGACCTCGTATCTCTCGGTCTTTTTAAAGTCTCGCCTGTCTCATCGATCTCGACCGGTTAATCGGTCATCGCGAAAAAAACGTTCGTAAATCGTTCCAATTACGGATCCTAGTCGGGAGAACTGATTACCCTATTCCTTTCCCCGGAGAAACATTTCGTTGTATATAGTTTGATATTTGCAAATATCCAAGTTCACACTTTACAATGGGAACGTCAAAAAAGGGGATCTTTCCTAACCGAATAACATTCGATTCTCCCGAGTGGGACATTTTTTAAATATAATTTATGTGACGAACAAGCAAACAAGTTCGATTTACGTGTTTTTATAAGCGAGTCCCGTCAGTGAGTTAAAGGGCCAAGGAAAACACTAATAAAAGTACTTAAATCTTGCTGAAGCGGGAAGATCGCGCCGCGGGATCGCGCCAAGAAGTCCCCGTCCAACGACGGCGAGGGAGAAGCGAGAAGAGAGCCGATGCCGCGGGGGGCGAACGAGTTGCGGGGGAGGCAACTCCCGGCGTAGCATAAAGGTGACTCCTCGCGGCCAAGACCTCCCATATGCCACTTAGCATCCCGTTCGGTTCGGCAAAATCTCCTCCGTGCACTTCTTTCTCCCTATCCTTCTTCCTTCCGCGCTGATAAGAACACGCCGATAAGGACACTCCGGACACTCGAGAACAAGGGCTCGCTATCTTTCGCGATCGCGATGAGAGGGTAAGCCGTTGCGCGACGGCGACGGTGACCGGTGCCGAGCAATTTTCGCGTGCGATTTCTTGGGACTGACAGTGGACGTCTCTTCTTCTTTCTCCTCGCGACATACGTGAATCCACGACGGTGATGACGAGAAGCGCGCCGTGCCGCTTCCTAGTGCTGCTGCTCTCGTTGACGTCTCTGTGCGACGTTGACGCGTACCCGAAGTCGGAGTCCCGGATCGAGGAGCGGGATGGCCTCGAGCAGGAACTCGGCGAATCGTCGTGGCCCATCGTCCAACCGGACGAGAACGATCTCGCGCCCCGACGGGAGGAGGCTCTGCAAAAGATACAAGAGGTGATAATGGAAATCTGGAACTTTAACACAGTCTTCCGGGTAACGTAGCTCCGGGATATCCCGGGAAATTCTACGCGGCCCGGATTCGCGAATTCGAATCGCAGATTCGATTCGAATTTGCAACTTGTCGTTTTTTCGACAAATTACCTGGAGCTTCGCATTAAAAAACGGCGAACGAATTGCAGATCCTTGGCATTCGGAGTCAGAACGAGAATCTGGCCCATCGCAAGGTACCGCCGCAGTTCATGATGGAGCTCTACAACACCATCGCCGATCCCAGCGGGGTCACGCGAGGCCGGAATCCGTACAACGCCAGGGTAGTGCGCAGCTTCATCGAGAGGGGTAATTCTTTCAGTCAGTATAATCACGAAAACTCGCAGGATCCGCTGCCGGGTGAAAGGGCGATCTAAACGTTTGTTTCTCGTTTGTTTCGCGCGCGTAGACTCTCCCCTGTCGCAGTTCTACTTCTTCAACGTCTCGGGGCTGGAGATGGACGAGTCGGTGCTGGAGGCCGAGCTGCATCTCTACCGGAAAAAAGCGCCGGCGAGGAACATGCGTCCGCTGACGTCTGCGTCGCCTTATTATCTGGTAAGTGCCTGGCACGGTAAGCGTCGCCGATCAGCGTGCCAATCTTTTGACTGCACGCGAATTAGGCAATACTGCCGCGTTGACGCGTCGATCTTGATGTGTACGCAGATAAGGGTGTACCAAGTGCTGGACGATCGCAGCCTCGACGTGCCGGATCTTCACAGATTGTTGAACATTCGTTACGTCGGCGCGCACGCTTCCGGTTGGCAGGTGAGCGTATAACATTTTAATTCCTTCACCTTCTTCCGCAATGATCTCATCTCGATATTAATAACAATTTTTTCGAAACAATATTTCCACAGTTATGTCCTTGTCTAATTTCCAAATTTCAAGAATGTCTTAATAGTTAGATCTTTATAATCGCTATATTTTTAAAAATTATTTCAAATCATTTGCCGAAACGTTAATATTCTATAATTATCTCGTAAGAATCCTTTTTTTTACTGTATAAAAAGACGACTGTTTCTGTTTCATAACGTCCGCTTCGACTATTTATCGAATTATTCGTATCTTGAAGAATTTGTTAAAAATCGAGAAAGCGACAATGTATTTGACACTTGTATTTAAAAAAACCTTGATGAATTTAGTAATTCATATAAAAAATTACGTAAGTGTGTGTTACATCGCGTTAGATATTTCAATTAAGTAATGTCTGTACAGATATTCAATGTCAAGCAAGCTGTTCTCGGATGGGTGAGCGGCGAGCCGAATCTGGGCCTTCTGGTGACGGCGCAGAATCTGTTCGAGGACGAAATATCGGTGGAGTTCTCCCGCCGAAACGACTATCACCACAGCAAGCAGCCGATATTGGTACTGTTCGACGATGACAGTAACGACCGGTCCGGCGAAAGGTCGGCAGTCGTGCCGCGATATTACGCATATGGAAACCAGGATGATGACAAGGAGAACCGTGGGAAAGGTCCCGCGTACGAGAAGGACGCGGAGAACGAGAAGATCGATCTGGAGAACAGCTACGATGACGCCGAGCACTACAAGAGGCACGAGAGACAACGAAGAGGGGACGGTCAGCCCGAGGAGGTCTCGTTGGCGAGCAGACGCGAGCCGGAATTTTTCCAGCGGCAAAAGAGAAGACGCGAGGAAGAGGAGAAGGATCAGGCAGGAACTTCTCGTTACGGAGAACCTTTAGAAGCGACGAGACGCCGTCGTCGCGACGCGACGTCCTCCCGGGAACGCACCACCGACGGTATCGTGTCGAAGGGTCGCTCGAGAATCACGCGGATCCTCACGTCGATGGACATCTACGAGAGAGCGGCGTTTCGCGAGAGGCTGGGACAAACGGCGCGAGACAGGTCGGCGAAAATCGCGGAGCGACGTCGTCGACCGCGCCGGTCGACGAGCAACCAGAACCCGATAACGTCTCTGAATCAGCCATCGGGGAACGCGACCGAGTGCACGAGGCACGAGCTCTACGTGGACTTTCGCGATATCGGGCTGTCGTCCTCGATAATCGCCCCGGCCGGCTACTCCGCGTACCAGTGCAAGGGCGTGTGCGAGCCGCCTCTCAGCCAGGACCAGCGGCCGACGAATCACGCGACGATACAGGCGATCGTGCACAAGATGGCCAAGGGCGTCGAGAGGCCGTGCTGCGTGCCCACCAAGCTGCTCAGCACCAGCATCCTCTTCTACGACGACAACGAGAATGTCGTGCTCAAGATGTACGAGGACATGATCGCGGACCGTTGCGGGTGTCGTTAAAACGGAGGGATAGCTGATCGCGGAAGACCAGCGGTGTTGTCGGCCGTGTAATTATAGACGGCCACGCGAAGGAAACGGTGATATCTAAAGAACGGGGAAGGGAGGAATGTGGAGAGATAAACAGGGAAATCTCTGTACGTCTGATTCGTGATCGATTTAATCCTTTTCTACCGCAGTAAAGAAAACTATCGCGAAGTGATTGAATGGAAATTAATATATATATGAACAGTATTCTTATTGTTTCCATTGATACAAAAATAATACGATGACTGGAACGAACTTCGCCCTGGGGCCGCCACGGAAGCCCTACCTTTATCTACCTCTACGTAGTACTCATCTGCCAACGGGGCGCTTTCCGAGATCCCCCTGAATTTATCGTTGACCTCCCTCCTTCTTATTTGCGCCTCCAACAACGACTTGTATGCCTCGTCTATCTCCTTGAATTTTTCCTCAGCACCGGGGGTTTTGTTCTTATCAGGATGATATTTTAAGTCTAAGCTTTTTTTTATTTCCTCATCGCTCGCTCCCTTGGCCACGTCAAGTATCTTGTGGTAGCTGTTTTCCATCTCCTCGACTGTCGTTCCTGAAACAGCATCCAAACGTATTGCATCTATATATGGAGGGGTTAATTAAAGCCATAGTGGTGTAAGTCACTTTTTTTAATTTATCGAGTTAAGTTCATAGATGCAGTCTACACATGCAAATATGTTGAAAGAAGAAGAAAAAAAGTGGTAAAAAAATGGACTTACACCACTATGGCTTTAACCCCTCCATATATAAATCAATTTCTAATTAGCGCAACAGAGTTGCATTTTCCTTCCTTTCTCTTTATACATAACATATAAAAAGGAATTTATACAAGAAGAATTGATCGCTTGCTCGTTTTTGCCTTTGACCGAAGGATAACTCGTTCTCGTTGTAAATAGTCAGGCTGTTGACCGATCGCGTAGTCTTTTGATTCTCCCGTTCGATCACTTCATCGTTGAAGGGTTCGGTGCAACAGCGGCCTATAATCTGTATCTTACTAACTCGAGCTCCCGCATCATTTTACGGCTTATTTTAATGGATTAACGGTGAATTCTCTCAGCGCTGTCATTCCCGGAGATTCAACGTGACGATTCTGCAATCGGCACGCCACACGCAGCTACTTTTGTACATAAGAACATTCCTAAGTGGGCGCGTATAGAATTAATGTGTTAACGATTAACGACGTATATCTGTATTAGTGTACCGCTAGATCGTAGCGCCGTTAAATTATTGCCATAATCGTAAACGTAGGATTAGACGGACGATGTCCAGCTGCGCGTGTGTACATATATAAACGGCGACGCATCTCGCCGAATTTATTTATAGCCAAGCGAGAGCAAGAAAAAAAAAACAAGAAATAAAACGATACTTAAGCGACATTGCGTCTCGAGTTATTGGCCACCACAAACCCCGATCGTTTCTCCACAGGTCCCAAAAGGAGGAGCCCCACGGCTCATGCCTTCGCGGAATTTAATTCCGCGAGGTATGAAATCAGCGGTACATTGTTGCTGCTTTTTTATTATCTGATTGCGATACGCCCTCCTCGACCGAGAGAGGCTCCCCAGCCCTGGAGCGAAACCGCTGGAATGAGATGAGTTTATACAGGGGCAAGCCGGTTGACGGCGACCGGCGGGATTGTAATCGCGAAATGCAAAAGATTATTGCTACTGTCAGGCTCCTCTCGCGCGATCGTATCGTTATACGACTTCACGCGATAAGAGCCGCCTGTTTATACCTTCTGACAATCTTAAACGCCCGATGTAAAACGCATAACGTTTTAATCTTTTATAACCGGATTCTTTTTGCTTTATACAATCGGGAAATGAGAAATGTTCATTAAATTAAATCATTGAGACTTAAAAAATATAGATGTATAGGTATATAATTTTCTAATCACGTGTACGTTGCAGAGAATTAAGCGAGAAAATATGGCAAGAAGATTTATTTTGCCATGCATTTGCGAAGAGTGTATGAGTTTTCTTTTAGTTCCAACATTCCAGCAACGGTAAATCGCACGTGATCTTTATTACCGTCGTAATCGGGCCTCTCGTCCGCGACCCTACGAGATTGACGATGAGCAAAATAAGACGCCGTGATCTCGATTGAATAATTGTCCAGCGGTGAAATCGCGCAATTTCGCAAGATTGAACGAAATTGCGGACGATCACGCAGCGTATTCGCTCGACAAAAACGGTCACTTCGTCCCGGCTTGTTTTCGTCCCTCCGCGTGAACCGTGACCTCCTTCGTTTTTAGCACACGTGCCAGCGTAACGGGGGGTCTCATTATTCAGCCTTCTAATTTTATATTCAAATCCACTCCGCCCCTTCATTTCTGTAAAGACGCGTGGCAGCATAAACCCGCGATACATTTCATTTGTCTCGATCATACTGAAGAAAAAAAAAATTATCGTAACTCATCGCGATACACTGTAATCCACAATGAAAAATATATATTTTTCCATAAAAATATAATTGCACAATTTCTTTTCATATTTTCGCCTAGATATGACATTATTTTATTTTACGTCCAAATAATATATGATTATTTCGATAATTATAATCGATTTGGGAAAGAATAATTTATCGTTAGGTATTGATAATATTTTAATACACTTTTAATTTTTCATTTATCAAGATCATCAGGCACACAAAATTGAAAAGTTATGCGATAAATGATAGACTGCCTCGGCATTTTCTTTAAGGCGATCTCTGCAGAATCAATATAACAATATAGGTTTCTACGTTCTATCCTCGACACTCCGATATCGATCTACGGGTTGTTCGCGTCTCGGAGCAGCGAGCCGAGGGCGACGCGCGAAATTTGCATATCGTTCCTCGCGACACTCGAGACCGCTCTCGTGCCGCCACGCTGCATTCCGCATACGCGAATGCATCCTCGGCTATATTTAATCCGCGGTGGGTGTATTTTCGAATCGGCCCGGCTAAAAATAGCCGGAACGCGTCCCGCTGCATTCCACCGTTGTATTTAGATCCTCGTAATACGCGGCCCCGCGCACACACGCGAAACACACATATACACAAATATGCACGCACATATATGTACGTAAGAAATTTTATTACCCGACAATTTTGGGAGCATCCTGCACGATTGCGGAAGGACTCCAACAGCGATGTATGGAAATTCGTTATCATACGTATTCGAAGCAAATTTCGAAACTTTCCTATCTTTGGCAAACTAGCGCTAAAATACTTACAATTCTCGGGTTTTGTGTTTTTAGGGCTGCGTTTTAAGCAACAGATTTTAAGCGAGTTTTCTTCTTCATCGGACGAAAGTGTCTCCCCGATAGATAAATTAAAACATTAATTTATAAATAATATTTATAATTAATATCTGTGTAATTTATATTAATTTAATTTAACATATTTATGGTCTCGAAGACCATATGCAGTCCGCGAGTTTGACGTGGCGGTCGTAAACTACCGTGAATCGCGACGCTTGCGAAAGAGTGACCAGAGTGTTTACGAGATCAGAATGATCAGGAGACGTTATGGAATGTTTACAAGGCTTAATTAATGGGGCATAATCCTGCGAGAAGACGCGACCTATCATTCGGAAGAGAACGAGAAAAGCCTCGGGGATGGTAGACTGGCAGGGCTAATGAGAAGCCAAAATCATACGAAGAAAGACAAGGAAGACAAGAAACAGATCAATAAGAAGCGAAGATACGCAGAGAGAACGTCTAGATCTCGAGAAAGAATAAGAAAAGCTTCGGGGGACGGGCGGAGTTAATGAGAAGTAAAATCAAATAAAAAGAGAACGTAAGACTAACAAAAAGCGAAGAAACGTAGAAAGGACGTCTACAATTCGCGCACGCAGGAAAGTCCTGAAGAATCTTGATAAATTACTAACTTTAATCTAACACACAATAAGCCCGAAGAATGACAATACGAGACTTTTATACTTTTATAGAAAAAAAAGGGAAGTAAAAACAACCGTTCTCACTACTTATTTATCGCATTCTCTTGTATTTTTCATTAATTGTGCGCAGAATCAAATTTTATTCGTTTTTCTAGAAAAAAAGGGAAACGAACAAAATTACGAAATAAGTGGCAGGAATCCCGGGGACCCCAATGCCATAATTGAGGGTTAATAACAGGCGACCGGCGCACGTCATAACGCCTAACGACGACACGACGGTGCCTCGTGGGTCACCCAGGGCTGTCAGGCTGGGCTATCACGTTCTCTCTCCCTCGTCCCTTCTCTCTCCATCTTTCCCTCTGTCCATCGCCGGCTGTTACACAGCCGGGACAGACTTCACCGGTTCACAACTATGCGCCTAAGCGGCAAGGCCTTTGAAGAAGGCGGTGTGCGCCGCGTGTGCGCGCCTTACCTTTCCCCCCCGTTCAGGGATCATCCCGAACCCTCGGCTCTTCGTTCTTTTGCCTATCGTCCGTCTTACATCACGCGTCATCGGTCGACTCGCTTCCCCGTGGGCACGTTACCCACGTCGACGTAGGCTCTCGCGCTATCTTCGCGTCCGCGCGCGTGGAATGCGGCCGGTAAATAAATAAATTGAACACCGATTCCCCCCCTTCCCCCGCGCCCGAGAGACTGTCAACAGACTGGGCCCCCGTCGTCGGAGCGACGACGAGAAAAATCCGGGACATCACCGTCCCCGAGATGGTGACGGGCAACGAAGATGCTTGAGTGATTTGTCCCGCGTATTTGGGTATCGATTGTGTGTGCGCGGCACGCTAGTTATGTTCGAAACGTCGGGCACAGCTGAGAAGTGGAACGCCGCCGTCCCGTCGAGATCGGAGCACGGAGCGACAAAATGAGAGCGCCGCTCGTGTTTTGCGTCGCGGCAGTTTTTCCCACGATCTTCGTAGCTTCCCGTGGCGACGATGAGGATCGCGAGGTAAGTACGAGTCAAAAGATACTTAGTTATTCGATCCTTTCAAAATTCGTCTTCGATCAGAGATTCGTCATCTGAAGCTAATACAATTTGATCTCTTTTTTTTTTCACGGTTCGTCGCTTCAAAATTGTTATTTTTAATTGATACTGATGTCGCTCTTACTTAACTCACCGAAAATAAAATCGCGAATTCAATTTGCAGACAGAATAGAAAATAATTCGTGTAAAGTAATCAAGCCGGCAATACAAAGCCCGCCCGGGCTCTTTTATACGTGCAGATTTATCCGAAATTCTTTCTCAGTAGGTCATCGTTGTGTAACACCCTTGAAATATTATCTATTATCAAACTTCAGTTTAATACACCTAATGCACCTAATGATCTTCTTGTGCATCTAACGATTGGCGGTATTTTTTCTTTTATTTTAAAGCGTGTTGACATTCGACTTGAGATTTTACAGAAAACGAATATTATTCAAAACTAAAAAATTTTGGGAAGCTGAAATATCTCGAAAATCTCGAGATGTACTGAAAATCTTGATATATATATTATGTATTTATTATGTATCATAATGAGAAAATGCATTTTTACTTTCATAACATCTTACGTTATGTCGTTTCAATCTACTTCTTATTTTATGCAAAGATAACAGTTTATTTTTAAGAATCTTAAATGTTTTATTCGGGAAATGTCTAGGCTTCCGAAATATTGGAGATCGTCCAAATTCTCTCAAGATTTCCAAGAATTTTCAATTTCAACGACGAGTTTCGAGGCACATCAAGTTTTTACGACTGAAAACGCTTTGAAAATCCTCGTATAAGCACTCGGAACGTCGTTAGTCGAGAATATATATCCCGTGGGCTGCAAGGACTCGCACTTGGTCCTTATTTGACCATCCCGCTCGTCATCCTTCCTCTCGTGATTTTCACTCGAAAATCTCCGTTTTTCGCTACCGGCCAGGCGGCTACGCCATTGACGGGAAACGATCTTGCGGCATGCTGTTTCTCAGAAGTAAACACTCTGCCCCTCCGGCTCCCGGGGATCGTCGTTTCTCTTCTTCTCCGCCTCCACGTTCTTCTTATCCACACGTCAAACGCTTGCCGTCCTTTGATGTCGCTCCGACTGCTCCGACACCGTATTAGCCTTTTACGTGTATCGCGCACAGTCATCGCCGGTCATCGATCTCTCCGTTTTTGACGAATCGCCTCTTGATACGCGCGCGAGACATAATTCCCGATAACATTTAAGGGAAAGGTACCAATACCCGAACACTTAAGCATAGAAAATGTACCAATACCTGAACACGTATCTGTGTCTGGACACCTTTAAAAAAATATAAATTTATGAAAATAAACGTTTGGATATTACAACTGAAGTTTCAAACTACAAGAAAAAATACTTTTATCTTTGATTTTAATTCGCGTTATACTTATAAATAATAAAGGTGTTCGGATATAGGATACATGTTCGGGTATTGGTACCTTTCCCTTATTTATGCAAAAAAAAAAGAAAGAGAAAACTACAAAACGTTACTTGTCTTTTTGACATCAGAGGACCGCTCGTAATTTGTACGTTCAAGATCATAAAATTCGCCCTCTCGATCATCGCGCAAAATCAATATGACTTCTGAACTCGCTAATCTTCTTTTTCTCATTGTCAGATACAAAATTCCACGACGACGCGAGATGTCGGGTGTAAGGAAGATTGTACAAAATTGTTGCTCGATCAACTTTTTACGTCGGCCGTCTCGCCCGACGAGGAGGACGATTACAAACGCAGGGGGAGAGTTCATCCCTCGCGGATCAAACGCCGTGCGACGCATCGTCCTCGTGCGAAGCCGAACGCGAGGTCGAGAAACTCGACGAGGGGACCCGGGCGACGCGATGTAGGTCGCGTTCCTGTTGTAAGATCTTCCAACAAAACCGTTCTCTATGAGAACAACGAGAGCGCCGATGCAACGACCCTTTGGAATCGCACGGACGAGAACGGCGACGAGGACGACGCACGAATCTACGTTCGCGAATCTTTTAATTACGATCCGTTTCACGAAGGACTGGAGTCTCTCCTGGCGAGATTGATCGAAGCGCTGGAGAACAATTCCAGGGAGGACGAGCCCGACATACTCAACTCGAGTGCCATCGACGACGCGAGTGGCTTCGACGACGAGGATCGCTGTCAGAAGTGGCTGAACAACCGGGAGAAGATCGAGACAGCCTTTCCGGGTAAAAAAATAAACGAAAATTTACGGTCGAACTCGCTAAATAGATATCGTCAGAGTATATGGTTTCTCTCGCGTCGAACGACGTCCGACATTGTGTGTTTTGTGTGCGTGTCCGCAGGATCCGTCGCCGATCTGCCGGGGTGCCCCTGCCTGTACCCCAACAGCATCTTCTACAACAACCAGATCTGGGACAGTAAGCGGGACAGGAAGTTTCGGTGGCGCGACGTGAGCCACGACAAGGATCGGATCGCTATCTACAAACCCGGTGCCGTTTATTGCGTGCAGACTCTACCGTCGCAGGAAAACGAGAGCGCTATCGTCCAGCACTGTTGCTACGATGAAAGCAGGCGGCTGCTGACCCGCGGTTCCGGCGCCGGCACGCCGTACATCGTCAGCCCGGACGTTTCGCCTTTGCTGCACGACAAGATCGACCTGCTGCCCTGGCGGCTCTGCAAGGGTGACTTCACGAGGTATACGCGGCGTCTCGTGCCGACATCCGGTCTTGTATATATACAAATTCGATACGCAACCGAAGTACAAAACCGTATATATTTTAGCGGCACAGGTAACTCTCGAATAACAATTGGTTCCGTACAATTCAAGACTGTAAAATTGGTCATTTGATTCCGAGGGATTTAAAACAAAAACTTATAAAGAAAAAAACAACATAACTTTATAACATATTTTTTATCAACATATGTTTTATCAACAATATGTTGATCAAAAAAATAACATAAATAAAAAATAATTTTTTTTACAATGCAATTCAAATACCGTGTTATTCGACGGTCATCTGTATTTTAGTGATTTTAGACTAGCAATTTTAGCAATTTTATTTTATGTTTTATATGTCCCAATGTGTCTGCCACGATAGGCCGGCGATATTGAAATTTTTGTAAAACGCTGGCAAAAAAATAAATACCATCCAATATAAAATTTTGAATGACAGAAATAGATAACAATGCAAAGTAAAAAGTATGCTGCTCAGCAATTAATAATTTTTCTTTTTAATTATGCTACACGATATTTATTTTCATTATATGCTATAATAAAAATTTAGCGAACAAATTGTGCGAATAGAGTCATATAAACAGAATGTTCATTACCATTCGATTCGCGTAACTGACTCGCTCATATATTCTTATGTACTTAACAAAAAGGCACACTCTTATGTATTTTACATTGTAGGTACAACGAAGTAAGAATACCGAATAATGACAACGACTGCGAGATAAATCCGGATAACGAAGAATATCAACATCAAGTGGAAAGAGCGAAAAATTATTGAGATACAATATTGTCTCTCGATTGTACCAAAAAGAGCTATACTTGCCTAATCTCCACTTCAATTGTGTTCTAAAAGAGAGTAGCATAATAAATTTATATTTATTTCCTTAAACATTCTAGTTTTATATCAATAAATACCGTGTTGAAAAGACCACTTAAGAATGCCTACTGTCCATGTAAAAGTTATTTATTTCTCTTGTTATTTCGCGTGGTGACATAAACGTTGCAATAATTACTAATCGATTAACCAGCAATATTAGTGAAATCCTATCTATATTAATGAAAGTTATTTATTTTTCTCACTATACGGGAAGAAATGCGAAGAAAAAATATATGCAGTATCACTCGGTGTTCCAAGCTTCATGCATTTATAATTTATATTTAGAAAAATAACTAACCGAGATAGAAATAAATAAAATATCTTGTTTCTCTCTCATATATCACATAGCTACCGATATTACGTTCTATAATGCAACGTTATATTATATTTTCAAGTCATACTTTTTTATCAAACTCTTTTTTGCTGCAATATATCTTGTGTTTTTCGAGAACTTGAATAGGATAATCAACAGCATCTTCTCTGACATATCAGCATTTTTTATTATTGCTTCTCCGCCCGACGTTTTAATCGTCCCTCCATCTCCCATTTGTAAATAGAGCATTGAAATATTCTTAATGTTTGGACGATTATTTTAAATAAATTATTACAAACTGTTTTAACATATATTATGTGTTTTATAAAATTTTTCTCATTTTATGTAATAACAAATATCATAAAAATTGTTGACTAGATAATGAAATGCAAAATAATATAGCAACCTGAAAGGTACTCATTTTTTCGTAATGAGAAAAACGCGAAAAAAAAATGTTAACATCACACGGTGTTCCCAAGCGGTCACCCATCCAAGTACTAACCGTGCTCAACGTTGCTTGACTTCAGTGATCGGACGAGAACTGGTACTTTAAAAACGTTTTTTTTTTTTTTTTTTTTAATATGTTTATTGCACACCATATAAATTGTCGGGATTACATATATTTCCAATAAACAAGAAAATTCTTATGAACTAGGGTACAATCAGTCTGGCCCAACTTGGGCTCTCGCAATCGAATACATATTAGTCTTTGGTAATAGAAAATAAACGATATCTTATTGTGTTGCACTTAAGTCTAGTGTGTTCCGTAACTCATTATAAAAGTATGCTAGAAAAAGGTGAGTAAAAAACTAGCTATTTTAATTTTAGGTTTGGTACTTTAAAAACGTGATTTGGATGTTAACGCCAACATGATTCTTATTTGTGGATATAACTATACTCATATATCTCTATTATTTCCAAACTTTATTTTTGTTATAAATGTTATAAAAATCATTATTTGATCAAAGCAGTAAAGTCATGAAATCTTTCCTTTATATGAAAACGTTGCCTTGCGACGCTGACCTTTTAGGAGAGAATTTAGCGTCTTTGTGACTCCAATTATTACATTTACATTAAAAATAACTTATTATTGAGCTAATGAGCAACGGATAACAAATGCAAAATCAAATGTCTCTTAAATTTCCTTATCATATCCCGTTCGATGAGTGAATCAGATCAAACGTGAATTAAACGCGAACGAACAATACTGGACATTCTGTTCTCATGACCGTTCAGTCGTTGGTCGCTTAGTGTAGACACGCCTTAAAACGGACAAAAGCAGGGAAAGACTTCCCTAGCAGTATCTTCCCTAAATAAAATGATGGCGAAGACGGAGAGAGGAAACAACCCAAACCTGAAAGAAATTTTTTTTCAAACAGATAGTGTTCAGTAATTTGACTGTGTTGCACCGTTAAATAAACGAATTGACAATTTGCAATAATTCTTAGAATATATTGTTTTCTCATCTCAAAAACTATAACAAGTCAAGGAATATTCAGAGTCTCCTCCTATATAATATCTACACACACATATATATATATATATATATATATATATATATATATATATATTTATGTACACATGTACATTTATTCTAGACACATGTAAAAAAATATGTGGCTGTATGTGTGAGTGCAGGACGAGAGTGTAGTCGGTCGTCATGGTTACCGCTTGCAAACGTGAGACAGCAGCGGTTATACACTTGTCAAATGTATGTACCGTAAGCTCCGACTTGGAGTGGCTTACAACGCAGGAGCATTCACCCGGACGCTTGGACGCATTGTTTTAATGCCGCGTGACTGATCAACAGAATGGATTGGGCCACCGACCTCGAGATTACTTCGAAGAAGGTAATTTCAGAAGATCTTAGAAAGTCAGCTAAGAATTTAATATTTCTAAGGAACTCCGAACGACTGCTACAGTTAAACTTAAGTATGAAGTGCACCGATTAATTTGCAGCTGCTGCCTCGCCTAGGTAGGCGCGCAGGTCAGAGTAATTTGGAGGAGAAGTCTGACGATGATCCTCTGGAGAGCCCTATATCCTTCTCGTCTGGGAAGTCTGTATCTGTGCAAAGACCGATAGTTCCACCTCGGTCGAGGAAAACCGGCTGGGGCGATGAATTGAAAAGCGGCAAGTAAGTAAGCTCTAAACTCAAATACAGAGCTAACACGAGTTTAAGACTCATGGATGTACGAGCAATACAAATTTTCAATGTTTCCCCCCTTTTTTCTCTAATGTGCAATAAAACTGTTCGTGCCCATGCGGCACACTTCGCATCTAGTGTCTCAAAAAGAGATAAAAAGTTTACTGCACAAATAGTTGAATTGCATATAAGTGAGAGTAAAAAGGAGTAAAGAGTATTGAAAAATTTTTATCGCATATAAATATGTACATCCGTCCCAAGAGATTCATGTAAGGTTTATTACGGTTTGTAATATAAGTGAGTCAATCGATTCAACTTATATTAGTATTCTGCAGGTAATAAATATAAGTTTGAATCGTTTACAAAGTGGAGTTTAAATGGGTTAAAATAAATTTATTAAGTACAACCAGTTAAGCAATTCCTTTTTCATTATACAGATCAAGGGCGGCGCCAAACGTCATTGAACAGTGAGTACAATTCATAAAAATGAAGAATCAGATATCTAGCTATTGACGAACTATTTCTTAGGGAGCGTTTTCGAATGCTTGACAAGGAACAGCAAGAAGACGGTGAGCTGATTCAAAACGAGTTGTATTAAGAGCTTGTACATTACTTAATTAACTATTCAATTAGAAATTCTATCTCCCACTTAGATCAATCCCTTATAGAAATTTAATACTGTGAGTGATTATTTGGCTAGTAATTAATTACTTATTTTGAGTATTAAAATAATTAAAAACAGTACTTTTAATACTCGAAATAAGTAATTAATCACTAGCCAAATAATCACTTACAGTATTAAATTTCTGTAAGGGATCTTTCACTAATATAATTTTCTAACATTGATAATAAGAGAAAAGCATGGAAAAAATTAAATAGTTATTATTTCTTTTCATCACTCACTTTTTCTTCAGTGTTATTAATCTTTTGTATTTGTAGATATTCCAGTTATACCTGATTTAGATGAAATTCAGGAAGATAATATCTCGTCTGAGATTGCAAGCGCTCCTATGTAAGTGTGTTCTCTTTTTATTATTTTTTATTATTTTAAGATATCCATAAAAAATTGTATCAAAATTCCTATATGAAACTCGCGTATGAAAATAATATATAATTATAATTCTAAATGCAAAAATATTAAAATAATTAATATCCATTTCTATCAACGCAGGTTAATTTTATTCTCGGTTTAACTTACCTGTCATCTTTTCCTAGTTCTTAAGAGTTAGAAAAAGATAGAAAGTAAGTTAAACCGAGATTAAAGTTAAATCTACATAGGCATATAAGTCTTTCGTACAATGAGAGAGAAAAGAATTATATTGAAAATTATAAATTATAAGTGTCTGTTTTGCGAGAATTGTTTTGCTCTTTTAATATACCTATAATAGATTATAATATTTTATTATTTTATAATTATGTGAATAATGTTATTTATTTCATTTAAAGAAAAAGTTTCTTTGTATCTTGGGATATTATTTTTAGAGTCAACGCAAATAGAGTGACTGCGTACGAGGAATTGGACACTGATCTGGTGAAAAATGCTGCATACACATCGTTGGACGGCGTCAGCCTTTCTCTCCTCGCGGATAAGCTGTACAATGAAAATTTAGTGAAGGAACCGGACGAAGTTTGGAACTGGAATCTCCTTTTCACGCAAATTTCTTCGGAGATCAATAACGAGACGCAAAAGAAGATTGAGGCCTAAAGATGCGTCAGATCGCGAGTTTGAAATAAAAATGGAAATTGTGGGTATAAAATAACGCGTTATTTGTTATATCATTCATTGATATTTGTACATTGTTTTCTTGATATTTTGGAAATAAACTTAAAAATTAATCTAATCATTGCTGCGCAACCTAATCTCCCAAATCCAACTATACAAAAATGTGAAACGTTTTCTTCTCTCGCAAGAAAGTAAAAATACCTAAATCATAACATAATTTAACACCGATTTAAGACTTTTGTTCACTCATTACAGCTATTTTGGTCTAATGATATCAGAAGCGGGATAATATATCATAAAAATTCTTACATTAAAATAAAAACGTCTTTCAATAAAATAGCGTTTGTAGCTGCCCAGATAACATGCATGTTGCATAAGACGTCATAAATATCTTTACGACGTCTTATGCAACATGCATGTTATCTGGGTGATAAAATAGACTTGTAAAATATATTAAAAACTCTCCTTTTGTTTGTAATCAATAAATAACCTACATATATGTCGAATTGAATAGTGCCTGATCAAGGACGAAAACAAATTGTTTGATAGTTGCAGAATTGAAATAAAAATTTTCGCTCTCATATATTAAATTATAATAAAATAGGAGTCTTCAGTATATTTAAATATATATTACAATTATTTTATAAAAATATAAAGATACTGCACTATAAAACGAAAAATGACACTGTAAGAAGTTATAAGAATATAATTTAGCTTTTTAACATTGTTTTTCATGTCTTATAATTCACAATTTTGCCAAGTATGACGTTGCACGTACTATCAACGCGGAATGCGGACTTGGCAGTCGAGCCAGCAAAATTTCTGAAGTCTTCGAGAGATCAAAAAGGATCAAGGTTGAAGAGCAAAATAGTTTTAAAATCGTGAAAAAATCAAGTTTTAAAAAGCAAAAAATGGCATGCCGCAATCTGCGGTGCCTGCATATGGAAGCGACAAATTACCTCGTTTGACCTATTCGATTTACCCCCCAATTTGGAAATCGCGGTACTTCGAGGAGTGACGTGAAGACTCGGACCGTGCAGGCGTGCAAATCCGTGGTCGTGAGACGAGCCACGAACATGCATGCGCAATCGGGAGTCTGACCACTCAAAGCTACTTGAAGCTTACGACAACGTGACAACACCCACTGAGCAGATCTGCCAAGCTCTACGATAAGCGATCAATGTTCAGTTGTGCCATCACTAGCACACGCTTCCGAAGGTACGGCCTCGCCAGGCGCTATATAAACGAACTCTACCGATCTAGGAGCACGTGCGAGAAACGGGCGAGTTCTCTTCTCGATGCCGCGGACGAGTATGCCGCGATCGAAAATCGTTCCGCGTACCTTCGCAAAATGTTACGCGAACGCGGAACGTCATTATCGCATCGTTAACAACAATTTCGCGATTATTATCTAAAAAATCGGACGCAGCGAAGACCAGTCTTTAAGATAATGGCCATCTAGTGGCAGACCGTCGCTTCTTCTTTGTCATGTTAAAAAGAAAAAAAAACAAAGCGCTGTGCGTAGCACAACATCGGCTGATCGCTGAACTACCGCTGAAACCACGCTGAATGGTTGAACGCAGGCGCGTGAAGAATGAATGAATAACGCCACGAGTTCGACGCAATGTCAAAAATGTAATTGGAAAGCAAGAAACTGCGGAGATGATGAGCGAACGTTTAGAAAATAGTCACGGGACTATTAGTGAGAATTGAACCGACGAGATTTTTTGTTTAAATCAGCGTGACTTCTCGACGATCGATTCCCGATTGATCGCCCACTGTACGTTTGTTGCCTTTCGGCAACGTGGTAATCACGTTCGTCGAACTGTCGTCGGCAAACCGCTAAACGTTGACCGTGGTGGCTATCGATTTTTTCAGAACTGTCCGGGAATTACGTGGCCGACGATCCTCGATGTAAAAGGCCGACTTAACCTGAACCTGAACCTGAACCTATTCTCATCGATGGATTACATTTTTTTGTACTACGACAATCAATCAGTCAATTGTTTAATCAACTAACGTATTACAATCTCTGTTGGTACAAATGACACAGTATGCTGCCGTTTCTTGGAGTATCGGAGTTCAGAGGCGAACGTCACGCGACGCAAAGCTGCTGCTCTGCGACTATCTAGTGAGTATATTGAGAACTTGCATCTATTAATTAATTTAAGATGCAATTTTATAAAAGCACTTTAATTCATTATTTTTATTTCTGTTATTATTATTTATTATTTAAGCCTTTTAATTTAATCGTTTGGTATCTCTATCTAAAGTATTTAACAATTCTTTTGCAGAATTAATAGAAAATAAATTTAAAAGGCAACGACATGTTTCGGGATAGCCAAAAGATCGTCGTGGAGGACGGGCTCGCCCCGTCCGCACCGTACGTCATAAACATTCGAATGGAAGATCTGTTGGAGAAATTGAAGCTGCTGAATTACGACGCGGAATTCGTGCACGAGCTAAAAATGAAACCGATCAACAGGTGAGATAATCGCAATGTCGATACAATATATTTAATACCATTTAATACCTGATAAGATAATTGTAAACATTGTGAAAACAGGCATCACTTTGTAATTCCAACAAATCCCGGTGAGCAGTTTTACACGTTTACCTGCCTGGCCGCGTGGCTGATTAGAAAAGCTGGGAAAAGTTTTGAAATGCCGCAAGAATCGGACGATCCTAATTCCACGATAGCTCTGATCTTGGATTATCTCAGGGAGGTCGGCATACCTGTGGAATTCCCACCCAATAAGCTTAAGCAAGGCAGCGGGGAACACGCGGTTTACGTTTTGGATAATTTGGCTGATAATGCTTTGAAGTTGGCAGAATTCAAATGGAAAAGGTACGGTATATAATTGGCGTTTTCGTCGCAACTTTTATCAAGTTAAATGACTTATTAAAATTACCACCAACGATAGGGTAAATATCCCACCCGATGAGCCTTCTCCAGAACCGGAAATTGAGGATGACGACGCGGAGTTGATCTTGGAGAAAGTGGAGGAGGAAATGATGGCCGCGGAGTATGACGACGAGGATCAAGATGTCTTGCACATAGACGACATTACGAAGCTTTATGGACAAAATACTGTAAATAAAATTTTATTCTCACATAGAAGAATTGCGAATAATGCATAATACCGTCATCAAGATTGTCAACTGGTTTTTTTTTACGTTTCAGAGCGAGACGCAAAAGCTAGACAGCATTTTGGAATCTACGACTAATAGGGAAGAGTGGCAATTAGAATTGGAAAAAGTTCTACCTCGTTTGAAAGTGACCGTTAAGACAGGTAATGTCTTTGAGCGAAAATTGATTAGCTAGAACGAACACCACTGTATATTATAATTTATTGCAGACTCGAGAGACTGGAGAGCGCATCTCGAGCAGATGAAACAATTGCAAACGAATATTGCGACTAATCTGACCGGCACGAAGGCTCACTTGAACAAAATCTACACCGATATCGGAAATACTTTAGACAAGATCAAAACTAGAGAAACTTATCTTAATAGGCAGCTCGAACCGTCTTTAACACAATACCGCTCACTGCAAGTGAGTTTACGTTTAAATTTATAATATTTTTAGTGACCAACCGTTTTAATTGATTGACTCATTGACTGCGTTAAATTCCTTATGTAACCTGAGTTTTTGTTCACTAACGTGCTGAGGATGACCCAAAGACAGGGTCGAAACATACGCTATTCTTATTTGAATATTCTAGATGGTAATAAATTATATAGCGTAGTAATTATCGCGCCTGGCTTTTATTGTCATGTTTGTTAATGTTGTTCGATTTTATAACATTTTTATGTTATATATTATTTTCGTATATATATTATATTTTTTATACGTATTATTAAGTTACACATACGGAGTGACACGTGAATTTATCATTAATCTAGGAAGAATTATCAAAAATCAAGGAACAGTACAGAGACGTTAGTGGCGGCGTTACCGAACGGACGCGGATGCTTAATAAATTAATGGAGGAGTTGGAACACATAAAGAGAGAGATGGATGAGAGAGGATCCAGCATGACAGACGGCAGTAAGTATAAAATTAGATATTCCATCAGATTTAAGTATCTTATAATTTCACCCTAAAATAATTCCTCAGCGCCGCTTATTAATATAAAGAAGACAATCACGAGAATGAAGAATGAGATTTCCGAGATGAATATTCGAATCGGCGTGTTGGAATACAGCTTGATGTGCGCGCGAGTACGGGATCGGACGCAGCTGCGGGAGGACATGAACAGCACGAGTGCCTCGGTGATAATTTAACGCGCACGTCGTGTGCACATCTTTGTTATTTATATTCACATACTTCAATCCGTCCAACACGTGTGATGTCACGTCTAGTCTTGAGTGGTCTTGAGTATTGTCAACACGGGTCCAATTACGCTGCCCCCAACGAAGTTGCGACAATGCAACTACGTAGAACTGAAGGTACCGCATCGACTGCAGTAATGGAGAACGTGAATTTCTCGTTACACACTTTATACTCTTATACTTAATTAGCTCGCAATTGTCAACGATGGGTTGTCTGTCGACACCGTCACAGAGTTTCAATTACAGTTAAATAATAAAGCGTGTTCTTCGATTGTTTTTTTTTACCCAATGTGATCTTAACTCACTCTTGTCTTATCTGAATCGAAAACACCCTCCCTCCCTTCACTTCCCGCAGCTCCTGTATTTTTTTTCTGCGGATATCGCATTCGTGACTCTGGAAATTGTCGATCAACGATCAATGCGCACACACGCAACGATGGTGAAAGAATACGGATATGTGTGTGCGTGCGAGAGCGTGTGCGCTGCGCTGCGTGAAATTTGCGTCCGCGACTTCAGTCGGCGCGCGAGCTCGCGTGTATCCGCGCGTTTGTTTCGCGACTCGAGAGTCTCAGCGTCACGCACGTCGGTGCACCGGCGAAACGAACGCGGGAGGCGCATCTCGATCTCGAAGACAACAGGTGCGTAGGAAGGATCCTTTTGTTTTGATTGAATCTACGCGATCCAGCTGGTCTCTTATCGAATTCCCCGAATTTTGCGCCGTTAATATCGATGCTATGTCGAGATGAGGCAATACGAGACGATCGCTGAAACGATATTACGATCGACAAATTCTCCAATTATCTCGTACATCCATCGGCGAATCGATCGCTTATAATTGAATCGCGGAAACACCCTTGTTTGCCGATTCAAGGATTGATTACGTTGCGGACGTAATTGCTTTTATCGTTCGTAACAAAAAAATTTCGCCGACGATTAGTGTTTGCAATTACGCGCTGTTATAATAAAGTGCTAATCGAAAATGTATCGACAGGAACGATAAGGAAATTAATCTTGACGGGACTACGGCTATTTTTATTACGCACTAGTATCAATAGCGTAATTTGTTGTTTTACGAAGGGACATATATAGATTTAAGTTTAATCTCGTTTACGTAATAAATGCGGAATTTATGGGAACGGCCCCTTTTTTATCATTCGCATTTGCGAAGCAATCAATTCTTGTGAAGCAAGATTCTCTAGAAAACTAAAAAATGGAAATTAAAAACATGTTGCGACACGCGATTTGTTAAATCGTAATCTGCAAGCGTAGCTGAGATCATTATACGAATGAAACGTGAATCGTGTGCCGTTTCTCCATCTGGTCGTGTAGCAGGATATGATAGATAGCTTCCTTTCGGATGCATGTGTTTGAGTCGTGACACGCAATTACCGGAGAGATATTTTCTCCTCATTGCTTTCACTTTCACAATTTCTTCATGTTTATAACGCATCCGACATCAGCCAAGCGCGAAAAATTTTAAGCAATCTCGCTGACATATTTGCAATGTATATTAAACTGTAACAATATTTGTAATAATCAAAATAATAAATATAAGTGATATAACGAATAAAACAAGCTATATATAATAGGAATAAATAATTAATAAATTTCTTTGCAATTATTCTGTTTATGCTGTAACCTATATTTTCTGTTGATTATGTTTTGTACGTTATATAATTTTGTATATTATGTAACATACCAAAAAAGTTTGGAAGACGAGCTTATACATATATCGAACGTTGTGCAAATGAAATTGCTTCAAATGCACATATTCTTTTTACACCGGAGAGATATGTAAATGAGTTTAGATAGGAAAGTCTAAATACGAGTACTCCGCGATGAATCATAGAATGAAAAAAAGTTTGTGTCGCGATATCTACGTAATAAGATATAACTATCAATAGGTGTTAACGATAAATATATAGAGCATTACGTAAATGAATTTTATGATCATTGAGAAGTAGTTATTAGGTTTAATCTAATTGCTCAATAAATGTAGAAAAAAAAAAACAAAATGATATTGCTTAATCCGACGAGTTTCAGTATAAAGTTATTTTACTTTATTACGGAACTCATTGATATTCATTTATAAGCTTCCAAATATAATTTTTAAGAATCTAGATTTTGAAGAATTTATGCTATTTTTTCGGCCGAAATTCAGGTTTTCACGGATTTCGCAATACTTTTACTGTCCAAAGTCATCTGAATTATATTTAATAATTCCTTTCGAGTGAGTAAGTTAACGTGACTTATTTTGCGAATATTTATCATCGACTACATGATACTCTCGGAATAGTATTTGGTCATTTTCCGTTCGACGTATTAATTGAAAGAATCGTTGGTGCAGGCACGCAGTTTTTATCAACGCCTCGAGCGATCCGCAAAGTATTGTTTCACATATCTTTCACGCCTGCAATCGCATGAATAAATCTGAACTTTGAGCGGCAAAGGATAGACGCGGTGCTTATTAATATAGTCATGAAAAAATACTCCTTTCCTCCTACTCGTCATTCCATTATTTGTTCCACCAAGATCCACGATTAGTCATTAATTCGTCATCCAGCGCATTAATATCTGCGCCCCATTTGCGCATTGCGCTCGTTATGTAAAATAGTCTTCGACTTTTCTACACGGAAGCTGCACGTCATAATCTCACGAAATGGTCGATGCTGTCGAGATGACCGTCTTAGAAAACGGCGAGGATGTAAAGTAAGGTGTACATAGTTGGGGAATGGCACAGGAAGAGACATCGTGTGTGCTAAAAGGAAGACCGCGAATAGGATCGCACTAACAGGTGCCGGTTACACAGTTCCTCGCGAAAATCTCGATATTTCTAATAAATAATTCATCGCTAACTCATCAAGGGAATCAACATCATCTGTGCGTGCTTGCAAGCTACTCGCAATCCATCGATAGTGAATAAGAGAAAAAAATCGCGTACGAAGCCCGGAATTGTATTCAAAGCTCTTCTCGCGTTTCAGTTTCGTTTGGACTCGCGCGATTTGTTTTTGATGCGATAAATGTAATAAGATTACCGATTGTCATTTCGTAACGTGCCGTTTTTAATCTAGAGAAGTTCAGGGAATATTGATCTCGGTAGATTGCCCGAATGAATTTATCGTACAAAATAAGATTTCCATCGTTGTCGAAGGTATGTCAGGGGAGATCGAAGAAATATCTCGTAGCTGCCGCGAAGGAGATCTTATCTTAACTTGATAAAACTAAGGCAATCCGTTCGTCTTTCATAATATTCAATTTTATCGGAAATAAAGCACTCGAAATCTAACAATCGATACCGACATCACTCTCGGCCCGTTCGTCATCATCGATATTCTCGATTAGTGACTAGACTTTGTGCCTAACAGTTATTTAATTGTAACACACGGATAAGCATCCACGCCGGAGAGATACACGGAAATAATATTTTGATTTCGAGAAACGGCGACTTTCTATTCTATTTTTTGTGACCATTAGTGTGTGAAAGTAAGTTTTAAGTAACTCGAGGATCGCGCCTGAAACGTGCAACTAATTTCTCGGTGGAGAGGAAGGCAGCCCGCTGTATATTTTACTTCTTCCTCGGATTCTTTGAGACATCCGAGGGAGTAGAAAAATGGCTGAGATCGAAATGTCAGTCCCAAAGGAGCCCTCTCCTAAAACGCGCATGTATGCAACTTCTACGGAGACGTCAGTGCGGTAAGAATCTTCGCGAGTCAGTGCAATTGAAATATCTCTTGTTAAAAACCGGCAACGTTTCCATTTATATCTACCGACTCTTTAAATTTTCTATAATAAAACCTCGAACAAAAAACCGTCAAAGATTGGACATATCGAAATCAAAAACACATTCAAAAGTATATAGAATATGATTTTGGATAATATTTCTGGAGTTATAAAATATATCTGTCAAATTATAAGGACATCTAATGAAATCACATTTTTAGATATTTTTTCTAGCTTCTTCCTCGTCTATTTATCTTGTTCATCATCGTCTCAATCCCTTTTTATTTCTTTTTCCCCGCAATTCTATTTTTTAATAGACGTACGTTATATGCATTGAATGGATCATAGAGAACATTATAAAAATTTATTTATTCGTTACGTACGCACGTAAAAAGGAACGAGGAAGATAATTACTTCAGGAAAATCGTAAACATCGTGAAAACCTTCGGGCAGGAAGGCAAGAGTAGCAGAAAAATAGAAAATTGGAATGTTGTCGGAAATGTCCCGATAGAAGAGAAGCTTCAACGATTTCCGAACACTAGATAAATTTCGATACGCTAGATAAGTTTCTTTATCATTAGTTATCGCAGTTTCTGTAATTGTTATTTCAAATATTTCTATAACTACGTAGTCAGCGCTGAAACAAGTAAGCAGCCGTCTAATTAAAATAATGTTCGAAACAATGGCATCGCCAGTCATCGCCCACCGTTCGTCCAGTATAATTAACACTTTCGCTTATAAAAAATTCTGCGGAGAGTATAACGTAACGTTCGGTATACTATTACGTAAAGATGTAAGATTCATATGGCTTTTCATAAAAAGCAAATTAATGGGAAAGTTGAGAAACTGACTGAAAAACAAACTGACGAAAAACTAGATATATAAATTAAAAGTTTACGGTATTAAAATTTATAATTTTAGGAGTGGAAAGAATTTCAAATACAATAGTATACATTTTACATATTATATGTAAAACAATAAAATATAAAATATTTTATAAAACATATTTTTAAAATATAAAATATAAAAAATATATTTTATATATAAAAATTCCTCAATTCATACATACATACTTCAAAATAAAAAATTTACTCTAGTTTGAATTCTTCGTATTATATCAAAGTAGCAATATTTTTAATTGATACAATGATTAATACAATGTGATACACATTTTAATCATGATTTGGGTAGCTTGTTATTTTATTTTAAACATTCGCACGTTTTGACACTCGCTCTGTCGACCAGCAACGCATACTTTCCTTCACATCTCCGACGTTCAATGATTACATCATTACGTCCAAGTAAAAAACAAAAGAATAGTTTCATCTATAAGAAACTACAATATGCCGCTATATATGCAGAGTATCGAGTGTAGAAAGTGTGCTGGTATAGTGCAGTAGAGAAAATAGTAAAGTAGAGAGATCTGCATTCGTCTTCCGATGATATTTTATAAATTTTTCGGCAAGGATGTGACAAAATAACGATCTTCCGCGATCGAGATGCACTGCTGCGGGCTGTTTAACGCGAGACAAAATTTGATGTCTCGTATCTCGCCCGTTCTCGATTGTTACCGAGATAAACAGCGGTAAGATAGGTTAGCGTACACACCCGGTATATGGGATGGGACTCCGTACTCCGTGTAAAGCTCCGTACTCCGCCAGCCCAATTACGGGTCTCGCGAACGTCGCTTTTCCGCGGGGAGATACCTACATTGATGAATTAAATTTATTAAATCATTGAAATCGCCTTGTTTACGTTCCGTTCGACTCCAAATGACATGCAACGCGTACAGTGTCCACGAAGTACCGCAGAATGCTCCTTACGCGAGCGGGACCGACGGCTACGCGTTCCTGGAGTTACTTAATTCCAATTAAAACGTTAATCAGAGCGTAATCAAAGCGTAACGAGTTGACTTTCACCCGATCACAACGATTTCAGTCAACGCCCAAACGTTTCACGTCAGAGACGTTTGCCTTGACCACCCGATACATTCCATTTTCTCAGATAACTTTTGCATACCTAGCTGTCATTCACTGACTGATTTTGCACGTAACCGCACGACTAGTGTAACAACATGCATTATTTGTAAGAAGTTTTCCCTTAAGTTCCTAATAATTAATAAAAATCAATCTTGATAATTGATGATAATCTTGATAATCTTGACTCCTGACTTATCCGTCAGGAGTCAGATAAGCTTTTGAGTTTACATTCCTGAATTATATTTGAGCTTATATTTGACAAAATATGTACAATTTGCTTGCTTTTGTGCAGTCAGTGGTCAGTGATATCGCAAAAACTGAAAAAATCGCGATTTTCAATAAATATATTCCTTATAAAAATATTCCTAAATGTATCATAACCTTTTTTTCTCTCTTTCTCTCTCTCTCTCTCTCTTTCTCTTTCTTTCTCTCTGTCGCAATATGTTACTCTAACTCCAATTCTAATTAAAATATTTTTGTAGCAAAACGTTACAGTTTGCCCATCTCAGGTAGATAACAATTTGTGTCAAAATTCCAGCTTTCTGACATGAAATCCTCTTTTTGCTCATGTTCACAAAAAAGACATTCTTAAAGTATTATAACCTATCACAAACATATATTGTTCTGAAACTCTGGGATTGATCTATTTTATGATGTTCGACGAGCCATTTATTTTACGATGCTGAATGGAACTTCTGTTTACTCCAAACAATTTTAATTTTCTATAAATTACGTGGCTAAAGAAATGCCATAGTAATTGATCTTCGTGTGTACAGCGAATAGAAGTTCTCGTGTCGTAAAAGTTGAGAGAAATACTGATTATTATTTGTTTTATTTTTCAGACCTTTAGTTCCCGTAAAAATGGCGCGATCCTACAAAAAAGTTCTCATCGTCTCAATCGTCGGTTTGGTGATTACGCTTCTTGGCATAATCGTAGGAGCACTCTGGGTCACTATGCTATATGACTTGACATTTGCAAAGGTATATTCAAGAACCAGAGGAACTTTATCTCAAACGATGTACATACATATAAGTAAAGGATCGCATATTTATAATCCATAAATTTTTTTTCATGCAGCTATTGACGTTAACGTCAGAGTCTCTCACTTTTAATTTCTGGGTGAAGACTCCTATTCCGATGTACTTCAAATTCTACATGTTCAATTGGACTAATGCGCAGGAGTACTTTCAGACTAAGTCAGTGAAACCACATTTTCAGGAATTGGGGCCTTACGTTTTTCGGTAACGTAACTTCCATAAAATTTCTGCTACTTTTCAAAAGTACAGGACATGAATACTAAGATGTGTGCACGTGTCTCTTTCGCAGAGAAGTCGATACTAAGGTACGCCGCGAATGGAATTACGACAATGGAACTGTCACGTTTCAAAGGAGGAAGACTTGGGTCTTTGAAGAGTCCCTGTCCAATGGGAGTCTAACTGACGAGATTACCAACTTAAATCCAATAGCTGCGGTAAGGAACGATTACTTTGTGATAATTATTTGGCAACTAAATCCGCATAAATTTTCTATCGATATGTTTACACTGTAATATTCAATTTTAGACGGTCGCGTCTTCGATAAAACATAAGTCTCCGTTTATACGTAAGATGGTAGACGGGGTTATGGTGCGTTTAGGGGAGAAGTTAGTATTTACTAAAAGCGTGAACACGCTGTTATTCAAAGGGTTCAATGACACGTTGTTGGACATCGCGCGAAAGATGAAAGTGACCAATTTACCGGATTCTAAATTCGCCTGGTTCTACGGGGTGAGTTCAATGAATCGAACCTTACGCATCGAGCAATTTGACATACGAGTAGTCTCAAATATGATCACGGAAACCATTATTTTTTTTTCTTACAGAGAAACGAGTCGGATAGCTACGACGGCACATTCAACATGTTAACCGGTACAACCAACTTGTATGATATGGGAATGCTAAAAGAGTGGAATTACAGTAATCGGACGAATAATTACGAGGGTTCGTGTGGTAGGATACGTGGATCGTTGGGGGACTTTTGGCCACCTGAAATACATAATACAACAGTATCTATATTTGTCCCTGATATTTGCACGTGAGTACTAAAAGACATTATAATACATATCATTTAAGTTAACATGGAAACCTGTGTTAAATTGTGTTAAATTGTCTTACGAATGATGCACTACTTTAATTATTAAATATCCATTTGCTGAATTTTGCGCTGTTAATTTTTATATCAAGAATATAAAAATATAAAAATTTTAAAACGATCAAATTACGATTAAATTTTGAACAAATTGGAGTACATGTGCTCTTTATATATCTTATTATATCTATTAAATATTATTTATTAATATAAGTTATTTATATGGAGAAATAGTAACGAATTGATACTAAAAGTTAATTTTAATTCTTTCATAATCAAATCTTCAATAATGATTAATGAAAAAATACGTATTAAAATGTGTTTATTGTTCAGGTCTATGGATTTGTCAATTCACGAAAATACAACGAAATATGAAGGTCTAACAGGAAATAAGTACATCGGAACGAAAGATATGCTCGATAATGGTAAAAATGTACCCTCGAGACAATGTTATTGTCCCCATGGGGATTGTGGACCTAGCGGAACGTTAAATATTTCATCTTGCAAATTTGGAGCGCCGGCTTTCGTTAGTATGCCGCACTTTTATCTAGCAGACCCGGGCTACAGGGAGAACATAACGGGGATGTCGCCGAATGAGCAAAAACACGAACTATCGATCGTCCTGGAACCGGTAAGTATCTTATATAAAGTATTACTGTGAATGCAAACAGCAAGTATGTGACGAATATTACATGAAAGAAATTTTAAAGACCACAGGTATTCCACTCTTAGTTAAGGCTGCCCTGCAGTTAAATATATTGCTTGAACCAGTGGAATATATGAGGTAAGTAACAAGCAAACACAGCATAGATAATTATTAGCACATAAAAAAATTTCATAAGGTAAAAAAGAAGAAAGATATTATTGGAAAAATAACAAACCGTTATGAAAGATTATGACAACTTGAGGAAAGAAAACGAAATTTTCTTGAGCTATTACTATATCTATACAATTAACAACAAAATTTATTAATTTATTATTAATAGAAAAATATCCAAAGTGAGGCGAATTTCCATTCCATTTAAAATGTTGATTTTTAACAATGTTTTATATCGAAACTGCTTTGAGTAATTAAAGCCAAAACGTCTAAATTGTTGGAAAAGATACTGTAATATTGAATATAATTATATTAAGGATCCTATTTGGATATGCGCTATAGTTTTTCTATGTGTGCGCAGACCTGTAAATAATTTGATAACAGATGAGAGAACGTTTGTTTGCAATTTTTCAGCATGTTCGAGAATATAAACATGACTTACATCCCGATGCTGTGGTTTACTCAAGAGGCTAATATAACTGCCGATTACGCGAAACAAGTTCAGTTACTTTTAATTCTTCCGTCATTAGGTACTGTGACCTTTTTTGGTATAGGGGGAATCGGAATTCTAATATTCTTTATCGGACTCTTCGTTTATGTGCGACAAAGATGGAGAGGAGAGGAGACTCAAGTATTAATATCCAAATACGATGGCGATGTTAGAACAAGAAACGAAATGTAGTTTATTGCTTCTTCTTACCCGCGTGATTATTATAAGTCAGACGCCAAGATTTAAATTTGTTTTCTCATACATTCACATTATTTCTTGTATACGTCATGACTAAAACGCAAGAAGTTATTTATTCTTTCCGTTAATTTAATACAGCATATCGAAATTTGCATTCAAACAGGTTGACAATCTTCCGTGCAAAGCGAGATTTATCACGTCCATAAAAATATTGCGTAACTTTACATTGTTGTGAAAAATAACATTAATAAAAATAACATTCCATATTTTTATTGGCGCCGGACTTATATTAATTGTGCCTTCTTACGTGCCATGGATAGAGCTAAAAATATTTTTACTTCCTTTATATTTTACTTTACGTCATTTACTTCCTTTATGTGTATTCAAGCTTCCTTCTTTAATTTCGGATATAATTATAGAGCAGAGATAAGACTGTATTAATGTCTTATAAATATTTGAAACAATTAATGTACCATAAGGGTACTAGAAAGTGCCTACTTAAGCTAGTATAGCTATAGATTTTCAATAAGTAATAGTTCACATTGTCAATAACATGTTAAAATGAAAATTTATTCCTATATTTGTCAAGATGTGAAACGAATGTAGCTTTTATATTACCAATATAAAATCTATGAAATATTTGTGCGGCGGAACAATCTTCGAGCATAACTGAAACATCGTTTTCATCAGTTATATGTGAAAGCGCAATTAGAGAAAATCTATTATTGGCATTTTATCATCGATATAAATGTATATTACAGCGAAAATGTATGAATTATATTATTTTATATATATTATTTTAATATTATATATTATTGTCATATTCTTCATATATAGAGGAATCTATTAGTTGTTTCATAGAACAAGTTTTAGATATTTGTTACTTTGTCAACATATGTAAGGTATATTATTTTGTCTACTGTGTTTTCTACTTGCGATAAACTAATAATTACCATTCTAAAATTCATATCGTTAATATTTCTGTCAGACGTACGTAATTACGAGAGTTATATTTCTTTCGAGATATAGCTTAGAACAATTGGGAGAATATTTTTGAATTTTATCATTTTTAATTACTATCTTCAACTCGCGAACGGAAAACTGCGAAATTCAGTTTTTTTGCGATTTCAAGATATAACGATAGATAATGTATAAGCGTATATACAAGCAATATACCTATTTTAACATGAAGAAAAATGATTAGAAGAATATCTTAGTTTTAAAATTGATTAAATTTCAGCAATTTAGAAAAATATGATGAGATCTCGCAGCTACACGAATAAAAAATATTATAGCAAAAAACTTCATTTTGAGCAATTATACCGCATCAGGTCTTGAAAAAATGATAATCTTCGAATCCCAATGATTTTCTTCCAAATCAACGTTTTCTCTATTACGCATGAAATAACACACGGATATGCGTGTATGTATGCAAGAGGAAATATTATCATAAAACATTCAAAGCCGTAGGGAGTAATAAGCGCTATGATTTTAATCATATCGTCTAATTTCCTCGACAGTAATTCATTACGATTGTAGATTCGGTTAAAATTTAGCGAAATGCAAATAATAATTCGTATATAGCAAATACAGAACGCTCGAATATGTGCGTAATTTGCAATAAAGTAAATGCGGCGTTAAATGATGCATCATGTGCAGCGAGACTTATTATACGATTGCGATTATTTTTATTAATAATAAAATAATTTTAACATCTTTTATAAATTACGTTTGCTATATCGTTTCGCGCTAATAACACGCGATAACGATTAAATTAAATATTGCAGTCGGATATCGAAGCTTTAGAAAGTACGTTGAAGAGCAATAGAATAATAGAAATATCGCATGACGTGAAATTATCGAAGGATCGATTCGGATGAAAGTTTCAGAGAAAAACAACCCTATCAATAACTCGAGATCAATTCGCTTGACACTCGTACGTTCGTTTCACTTTATATTGATTTTCGCGGCTTCAGATGTAACAAAACGTGCTGCATTCTTACACGATCGAGCTTTAACACCTGTTGTTGCCCTAAATATCTGTGATATATTCAATGGAGAAGATGTATTTGTGCGCGAAAATGTGAAGAAATATAAAAACTGTTTTACCGAAAAGTATACATTGTTGTTAATTATACCCTTTCGCATATATTGAGCTTCTTGTAAGGTAATTTACTCTAGTTTATCCTTTTTTGTTGCGAAACAGAAAAGTTTCTCTAGTTTATAGTCCTTTGTTGCGAAACAAAAAAGCTTACGTGACCTAAGGATCGCTTCTCATACGAGAACAAATAAAGTGATTAGCCCGAAGCTATCAAATTACGGCGAAAGTACACTCTTTCTGACGTGGATTGCATAAATACTTTTATCGGTAAATCGATACTGTCTAGAACCAGAGCACTAATTACGTATAAAGGGCGTCCTACGTTTCTTTACGTTTAAGTCATCTTTTTATTCGTGGACGGCACCTCGCCGGATTTAATTTGAATGATAGATTCGGGACACTCTGTAGAGAGTGATTTGTATCGTTTCTTTTTGTCCGTTCTCGCCCAGAGATTTTTGCACATTTGCGTATTTCAATGCCTTTTTATATTAACGTATCCTTAATGATGAGCGCGAAACGATTTAATAATAACGCCAAGGGTATCACAAAATTATACACCTTTTTGTGGTATTATCGAACCGTATTTTACGATCAAACAATCGCTTATTAATTTCTCATTGTCTTCAAAACTAGAATTATAATTAAATATGGACATATGTGCGGGGGCTTACCTTTTCTCTCTAATAACTTTCAGGCTTTCCTCGTATATAAACGATCGCTCATTAATTTCTCATTGTTTTTGAAACTAGAATTATAATTAAATATGGATATATGTGCGGGGGCTCTTACCTTTTCTCTCTAATAACTTTCAGGCTTCCCTCGCATATAAACCCCTGCATCTTTCATTATACTTTCCGGTTGTACCCTATTATATTGCGTTTGGGCTACAATATTCCTTTCCTTTAGATCCTTTTCATAAATGTTAATGAATAATATGTAGCTAATTCTATATATCTTTGTCTTTTCATGCATCGTAAAGATAGACAAAGTGTGAAATTTTTTATTTTATCCGACGTGTCTTTTCAATTATTTGATATACTATGAAATAATTGCTATTGATATACTAGAAATAATACCGTTGAATACTATTAATTATTATTAATACTATTAAATACTATTAAATTAATTCCTCGGTAAGTATAATTAACGGCATTCCTACAAAACGTTTTCATTCAAAGCGTCTTTTAACAGTATCAATTTGATAATTAAATTTAATATTAAATAGCGTAATCGTATTTTTCACATGCCACTTTGCGCCTATCATTGGTTTTTATTACGCTATATCATAATTTCCGTTATATTATATATCGTTGTTGAAATATAATAGGGTGTTTAAAAAACGAATGAAAAGAGGTTTGATCATGATTAATTATAACCGAACCGCTATATCGACGGAACAATGCAAATAGTTTGGCTCTTGCCATTCTATCCGACAACAGCTTCTCTTTGGCGTTATGTGCCGTATCGATTGCGGATGACTGGCACCTGGATTTGATTTAAGTACAACGGCAGTGTTTACTCTTTTATCCCATCGCTCATTCTCGCTTTCGCCGCAAATCAATCCGAACAAATCGCCTTTCCATCATATTCAAAAATAATTTTCCTCGAGATTATATTTCGTCATAATTGACAAGGAGTTGTCGGCATACTAGAATCTCGGATAGAATAAACTGTTTACTTTTGCTCTTTCACCCGACACTTCGTTCTTCACGGTCACGTTCTCGCGGATAGGAATATAGGTCGTACAAGCGGTACAAGTCGCGATGAAGAGGGTCGTAAAGCGCGGAGTCGACGGTGCTTGCAAGCTTGACGCGGTAGTATCTCTTCCGTTTGTCGAATGCATTCAGAGGAAGTTGTTTCGTAAAACAGAAACGAAGAAAGAAGGAAAAAAAAGGAAATTGTGTATCTCGAAAGAATAAAAAGAGCATGCGCTCGACTGATCTTATTTGTATTCCGTTGGTTTTCCCGGCCTATTCTATTTTTATATTTTCGGAAGATTCAATTTTATCTCGCGTTGATTTATCATTTGCAGCTGCCACCAAGACACAGATGTCCCCAGGAATAATAATGTATATGAATAATCTTTTTTATACTCGAGAAAATTTTTTTTGTCTATCTTCAAAAAAGACTTGTGAATATATCGTAAATATATAATTTCTTTTCTTGGAGAGAATTCATATATATTTATAAATTGTCGAGCAAAATAAAAAAATAAAAATAAAAAATAGAAAAATAGATTAAATCTTCTTTTTGGTGGCATGTTAGTTTAATTTATTATTTATTTTTAGATGCGTGGGGGATATATCGATATACGTGCTTCCACACTTTTCCCGTGCTAATTGGAAACGTAGGAAGTTATTATCGGAAAAACAAACTTTCACTGCTTTCAACGTAATTTGAACGATTAAATGTAAATAAAAAAGAGGCGTATCATCTCCTAAAGCGCATTATCCTGAGTGTCGCTCATGCATCGGACTTTCGAAGTCACGGCGGGACGAAAATTTTTCATTGTGAGCGATACAGAATTTCATGGCATAAACCGTGGCAAAACCCTATTAATCAAGAACCATTCAGATTTAGGAAACCTGTCATGGTGGTCGCGCAATCTTGCACGAACGTGCTGTGACACCGTGCTCGGCCCCTAAGGAATAAGATTAATTAACGTTAACGAAGAGGTATTAAACCCTATTCCGCAAACGTGGGATTACGGAATGACGACTGGAAAATGTAGCGACGAATAAACCTCGCGATAAATCGCCGAAGATAAGATAAGCGCGGACAGTGGCGATTCAATGATTGATGATTAATGAACCTGCGAATAAACATCGCGAATAAACGATGAATAGTGCGATAGAGGAGTCTCGCGATTTGTTGAAAAATATTTCGCAAATAACACACAAGCGCTCGATGCGCAATGCGCCGCTTTAGATATATGTGTGTGCATGGCGATTTGTAATCAGAACATACAAATATTTACATTCAATCGAATCTGAGGGAAAAATTGCTATAAAAATATGAGATATTGATAGTTTGTGAATTCTAAGATTGGAAACAAAAATCTTTTCAAGAATTAAGATTTAGAATTCATTTTGGAGACAAAATTTTACTTTTGTTTTTGAATCTCGTTTAATTGTTTTACAATGGCTTGAAACATGAATGATTGTACAACAATCATTTTTGACAGCTGTTCCGTATTAAACTTAATAAAGAATAGGGGTATTCAAATAAGTTAAAGTTTAACGGTTTGACAGATTATGTCGGGTTAGAGTCGAGTAAAAAGTTAATTAATTAACTTTGGGCGCGCTACTCTTTAAGGTTATGCAAAATACATAAGTGACTCATTAACCTATCACATTAATCTTTGGGTTAAAAGTGTAAAAATTAACTTTTTACCCAACTTTAACCCGACATAACCTGTCAAACCGTTAAACTCTAACTTATTTGAATACCCCTAATATATTTTTAACGTTTTATGCGACAATAGTCACGAATCATTTTTCTACAGCATCTTTGAAAAAAAAAAATAAATTAAAATGAATAACATCAGGATCGCAGGAAACTATGCCACCATATATCACGGTTGTAAACCTTTAATCAGAGAAGTTATGCGGATGATAATCGGAGTGTTTTTAAAAACATGTACCTCTGCGTTATTCCAAGAAAATGAATTTAGATTAATGCCGAGAGAGTACGTAATGCATGATATAGGAACAATTTTCCAAATTGTTTCCATATTTTACGTCAAAACAATTAGCAAATCACTTTTTCAAATTCCCGTATTACTTAGTAGATTGTCATTACTGACATGTATCGAAAATTTCTCTTATAATTAAATATTGGATCTCAATATTCAATAAATAGTTTCCTGTGTGTAACAAAAATTTTATAATTTTATAATTTCTAAGTGTCAAGTAACAATTGATCAAAGCATTAATATTTCAATATTTTCCAAAAGATGTATGGCGAGCATTGTTTCATATTGCAGCTTTATACAGTTTTCTGGAGTTTTACTAATGAGTAAATAAAACAAGTATAAAAAATAAACGCGCATGTATATCAATAACGTTCTTTTTGTGAAACAGCACGCTATATAGTATAAAGTCAAAGAGAAGTCCAATATTTCCCTTTAACATGCATATTTCCGTTTTGGAGATTAATATAGCAAAACCATAAACAAGTTTTAATCAAAATAAAGTCCGTTCAAAATTATTTCACAAATGTCATTTCGCAATGAATTTTCTCGATATATTGTTTTCCTATTCGGAATTCGAAAATTACTATAGCGTCTCGACATTATCGTCCAGGAAAAATTGTCAAACTCGTTCAAAGGACTCGTCAGTAGAATTAAGATTCGCATCAGGAAACGTATAATTTTTTTTAATTGCCATATACCCAGAATACGCAATTCCGCATCGAAGGAAAATAGTTAAAGTGTAGCAGGTACAAACAGATGGAATATTTTGGTCCCCCTAGATTGAGCAATTTTCGCGGCGTGCAAGTGCGGCGTCGTGACCGACGTGCACCTCACGGCCTCGTTAAAACAGCGCACCTCAGTTTCGCAGAGTCCGCCGACGCGTTCGCATCCTTCCGCGCGGAAGGAGCCCGGAGCACTGTACCTCGCTCCGGCGTCGGTATGTTCTCACCCCTTCCACCGATGCTCGAGCAAACATCGTAACGATCCTGAGGAACCGCCGTCGCGTGCGACGGCCTGTACCCGGATTCGCGAGAGTGCCCGGAAAAAAAAACGCAAACGCCGGAGAGAGCCGCGGTTTGAAAACTTTGTGAAGTCGCGCGAACTTTGCGTCGCGAAAAAGGAATTTTTGCTCGGCGGTGATTTTTCGTGCAAATATCGTCGTCGACGATTTTTCCCCCCCGGTAAACAGAAGGTAATAACTTCGCGTGTTAACGGAATTTTTAGTGGTTGTCCGAATTATACATGTTTTTAAAAAGTTGAAACTTTAGTTTTGGAGCGCATTGCAAAAATCAGATTATTGATATATGTCGACCAAATCTGAATAAAATGTAATATTTGCAAATACTTTTATGATACTTTAATATATATATATATATATACATATATATATATTAAAAGTATTTAATTACTTAATAACATTTAAGTAGTTAAGCATGTAATAGAATAAATATGTATATTAATACGTACGGTAATTCATTTAGTCACGCGAATGTCAGGCTTCTTTTCACCGCATAAATAAATGTTTTATTTATATTTACTTTTTTATACTTCGTTTCTTATTATTAATAATTTCTAAATAAAATTAAAAATCAGAGCATACAGAATTACCTCTTTAAATTACAAATTACAAATTTTCTTCAAGAAACAAGCATTTAAAGTAATTTAACAAAATTGCATTAAAAACCTCGGTGTTATCAGAATTAAAAAGAACGAAATTTAGCACAGACTATTTTCCCAACTTTATCTCTGTTATCTCATGAAAAGTATAGGAAATCCGGAAAATTCGAAGAATTCACATGCAGCAACTGGTTAGTGCGGAAAATGAGTTTAATTTCACGGAGCGAATTTTGCAAACGTATTATAAAACTCCGATTATTTTCGACATTTTTCTTTAACACACATCCCTATCAACATGCCGGAAGAAAAAAAACTGCACGGAACGCGAGCTAATTGCACCATAAACCAATGTAAACATTAAATTATGATTACGTACAAAGAGAGGAGGGAAAAATCTCTCATTATAATACGATGTGTTTTACGTGAATTAACCAAATACTTTAGACGCATCTTGCGCAGCCTCACCTCTATAATTCGCCGCGTTGAAATTTCGAAGTGTGACGCCGAGAATACGTGCAACGTGTATAAATCTGTCCAAATATTAGATTCTAAACGTGTACGCAGGAAATAAGAGTCTAATCTTGCGACGCGGCGGATACATTCGCTTAAGGAAGACTATTACTGTTTGTTACGAGCCAACCGGGTGAACCGGGGAAGGAAGCCCACGAGACTTTTCGCTGTGATGGGATTACTAGACGTGACCGTACCGTCGCGGGTAACGTTAATGTTTCATTGCGGATTTTCGTTAACAAGAAAGAGAGGAAGAGAGTGGGCGAAAAACAGTGAGCGTAACGTTACGAGCGGCGACCTCTCGCTCGGACCTCTCGATGAAATTTAACGAGTTGTTTTGGCAATCGGCTCCGCGAATAACAAGGCGCAACGACGCGACGATAAATCAGCACGAAGGGTGACGTTGTATACGAGAACCGATGCTGCAAGTCCACGACGCGGCCTCGGCGTTTTGCGTTCGTACCTGGAGCGGAGATTTATTCGCTCGGTTCCTCCCTCCGGTATATAGACCGCGGTATCTAGCACGTTTGTTCTCGATTGTAAAAGACGGAACGAGATCCACTGCGGGAACGAGATCGTTCGCGAGAAAAGAGAAAAAAAGCGAAAAAAGAGAAAAGAGGATTTATTTCGCGCGTCCGCGACTTGTCTTCCGATCGACCGATCGTATCGCCGATAATGAACCGCCTCGCGCACACGTGGAAAGTTAAATTAATCCCCCGGCGGATACAAAGGCACGTGGAAATAATGTCCCCGCGTACCAACCTTCGACGACTCAATTTCGCGTAATACTTGCACGGGAATTAAGCGGTATCTTTCCGCCTGCATAGTTAATTCATTAATAGCGAGGAAAACGGGCGAATCACGCGTAACATAATGCTTTTGGATATACAAGCGTCATTGGAATTTGTAGATAAAATTAATGAACTAAAATAGGAAGTAACTCGTACGAAAGCTACAGGGTCGTTTCAATTATACTCGAGGGAGCCATGAAAGTTTTACGAGGAAATGTCTCGTTGTTCGTATCACGATGCGATAAAAGGGGAGAGAAAGAAAGAGAGAGCGAGAGAGAGAGAACAGAGAAAGAAAACTCCAACACGACATTAGCACTTTTTTTATTGGTTAGCAGTTCGTACGGTTAGGTGAAAAGGAACGATAAAAACTTTTCGATAAAGATAAAAATTATGTTTTCTCGACGCGCGACAGTTAAGAAAAAAACAACATCGAAAGTGAGATGGGGGAAATAAAATTTCTTGGTACTAATTAACTATAATAACTAATTGAGTTTAGAGTTATTAGAAAAAATTAAAAACGAGATTATTTGATATCTTAATTCTCATTATATAGGTAACATATTATACGATGTAAATATTATTTTCATTATGTGATATTAGATAAAAGTTGTTAAACAGCCCACAATAACTCATATTATGCAATGATATTTAATCATTTTCTGTTTATATGCAATATATATCTACTGAATATATTATCCTACATTAATATTATTAAAATAATATTACATTAATGATATTAATTGTGTATTTAAGCCGCTGTAATGTAATTATATTTGAGAAGAGAAATGTATAATCTACAAAAGACGCGGGCATGAAAATCTTATTCTTTCTTTCTTCCCTCATTTATCTTTGAAATTCAAAGATGAATAAAAATGTTAAAAAATTTAAAAATATTTTGTCATTTTTTTATCTTCGTTAAGCAATTGGCACACAACAAATAATTATCAATAATACTACGTAAGAAGTGAATCTATTTTATCCCAGAATTGGTGGAAAATGAACACGTATAGCTTATTCCTTGTGCGATATTTGTAATCAGTTTTCCGTTAATGTAAATTCAAGGCACGAATTCGCGTCCCACATTTTTCGGGACGAAAAGTTCTCCATAAATTAAATTTAAAAGCAAATAGATAGTAACAGCTATTCCTCATTCAGTTTGAAGCGAAGTTATTTCACGCAATAGAAAATACGGGAGCATTTTGAATTATGGATTAGAAAAATGGAACTGACTGTACGTGAGCTGTATATGCGAACGGCACTTCCAAACTTACCATATAAATTAGTTAAACCATTTCCATTCGAAAAAAAATAGGTCGATAATAGAAATTAGCTGACGGAAAGGCAAAGATGCATGCCTCAATTAATGGTCGAATTGGTACGACACCCTACACGGAATGAGGGAGGTTCCAGATTCGAACCCTAAGATAATATTTTTCACAATAAATTGAATTATTTACATAGAGAGGATGCTTTTATATATATAATATATATAAGCATCAAAATTAGATCAATTTAGAAGAACCAAAATCCATGGTCGAAACGTATTAACGATTAATTGAACAAAACCAATGGTCGTATTATCATGATGATTAAAAAATGATAGTCAGTAAGGTCGATTAAAAAGTCTTTACTTTTCATTATTCACTGGCGAAGTAAATGTTACTATTCGGAATTTTTATAAGAATTGCACTAATGGTGAAAAATAGCTTGCCAAGAATCTCTGCGCGCTTCATCTTGCAACGTCATAAAATTCAATAAAATCAAGATACTGCCGACCTATTTTACCGTTGACTAGTAAACTTTTAATTACATCACACAAGAAGACCTAATTGAATTTACCGACGAGCAAAATACAAATACCACGCAATTACAGACAAACCACACTCGGATTCGATATAGTTCCATGTTAATCAGCGTGTGAAATAATGATATCTGCGTGAATTAACTACAAAGCGTCTTAATCGATATTGTTCATTTAGTTCCATTTACCGAAAAACATCTTCGAATATGTATATATGCAGCATTTTGCGATTCTAGAAATTAAAAAATTAATCAACTTGTTGAACTACTCTAAAAATCTAAAAATACTGAGTCCCGACATTTCAACAATGTCGAATATTCCTTCTTTGACATTTTCGGTAACAAAGATCGACTCTACATTTTACGTAGGGTAATGTGTGTTTGCCATTGTCCGCCCACTCTGGGATATCCGCGCGCGCTCTTGCACGAGTGCTGAATTATTTGTAATATTGTCGTGACACTCGTGACTCGTGACCAACATTGCTTCGTTCTTGCCCCTCATCGTCACTTTATTCGTCGCTTCTCGCGTAGACCGATTGACACTTTATTCGCCCGAATGACCATTATATTGCACTTCTCTGTCATCCGCGTGATTTCAAGATACTTTACCGATTGTATCAGTTTAATTAAATATCTGCACCGATCGACGTGTTTATCCCTATAACCGACTTAACGGCTTGGTGTTTTTATTTTGTCGATTTTTGCTTTAATCGAAGAATTCTAATGTTTCTAATACGAAGCATCGCTGGAATAAGCGTGCAAGCGTAGAGAAATTCTGATTTGTATGAGATAAGATTGATTTGGACAAACCGTTTATATATTATAATACGTTATAATCTCGTCTACAAACCTCATCGTATTCATCAGAGCATATCTAAACGCTATGAAATGATTAACTGAAGAAAATGCGACTTGGCAGGTATAATAAGCTCGGAACTATTCGGATCTTGCAAATTGGGCATCCGCGGAATCTGACATTTGACTCTATTGAAGTGTATTACAATGTTATTAGGCACAGACCTGGGAATCATGTTGAAGTTACGGAGTTCGAGTACCTAGGGGGAGAACATTATTTCTCGCATGAAAGATAAACGATACAATTTCAACGACCGTCTTCTTTGCCGTGCGCAAACGGATGCTGATTACGATCGCGCTCTGAAGAGCGGAATGCATGATCCCTGCTTCAAAGAAATCCTACGCTAAGGTCGCGTGAGCACAGATTGTAAAAGAAGAAGGAAACGAGAGGAACGAGAGCTTTCGTGAACTTCAAGAGCATACCGATTACTGCGAGAGCACCGGTATCTCCGCGCATTGCTTTATCTACCTTTACCAAATTTGCATTCGTGCGATTTATTTGATGGAGTGACTTATTGGACTGAAACCTGTCACGACGCGGTACCTCAGCAAAGATATGCACTATTTGCGTTAATACTGACGTGATCGATAATTCGGCTCGAGTGACTTATCCGTCCGGATTCCGGATACTGTCAATGAATTTCGCGATGCTACTATGGAACATCGTAATTAGAGACAGATCGCAATTAAATCGTTTATACGGCGTGTAATTGCGCGCGGACGATTTGCGGGTGAGATACTATACTGACGAAATAGTGACGACGCAATAAGATCGAAACATGAATCTCGCTGTGCCGATGATCGTCGCCTGGCTGGTATCGGCGACGCCGCGCTCGTGCGACGCCGAGGACGCGGACGACGATTACTCGGACAATTACTTCGAGTACACCAACGTGACGAATTGCACCAACGACTACTGCATCCCGGACGAGGACTACATCGAGCTGATGGTGCAGCACATATTCCCGAAATTCTCCTACTGGGTGCTGATCGCCATGCACAGCATCGTCTTCGTCGTCGGCCTGATCGGCAACGCGCTCGTCTGCATGGCCGTCTATCGCAATCACTCGATGCGCAACGTGACCAATTATTTCATCGTCAACCTGGCGGTGGCCGATCTCCTCGTTCTGCTCATCTGCCTGCCGCCGTCGGTCCTCTGGGACGTCACGGAGACCTGGTTCCTCGGATTGAAACTCTGTAAGGCAGTGCCGTATCTCCAGGTAAGCCTCTTTTCATCCTGTTAAAGATGACCTTTCCACATCCCGATTATCTAATTATCAAATCGACTTGAAGTCGGAAGGATTATATAAGAGAGAGAATTTAAAAATGCCCAAGAGAACTTACACGAAAACATTTTGCGATTCATCCGATACTCTTATCTTACAATTTATAACCTTGTACTAGCCGATGAGAATTAAATTGTCATTATTTCTCATTTTAAGTTGCGTGCGAACTCATTAAGGTCTGGTGTACCTGATACCTGTTTTCGAGGAAAATTGGAGAGGTGCTTGGTTCGCAAATTACCTTTGTTCGCGGTTGAGAAGTCGAGATTATCCCCTTTCGGCAATAGATTCTTGTACGACCTGTTAGTGCCTAACCAGATAATCTTGAATTTCAGATTGTCACACATTGTTGCGGAACTGCTTAAATAAACAAAATTGTCTAATCATTCTTTTGTTTAAGCGAACATCAAAATCGATCTCTCCGTATTACGCTGTATTATGAAGTATTTCTTTAAAAAATTTATTTACGCGACTTTTTTTATTATTTGATAAACTTTGCGATTGGCAATTTAGATAACTGTCTAGTAACCTTTACTGTTATAATTATCTTCTTTTCATCTCGAAGGAAATTGCTTTCAACCGACATCAAGAGGCGTTTCATATTTCTCAAAATTTTGTCCAAAAACTTTTCAAGACGACGGACTTCTGCAAACTATGCATATGGAAGCTTCTTTATGAAAGTGATAAAAGTCCAAGTGAAAAACTTGGTGAATCTCGGCGGGGTTAGGAATGTACGTCCGTTCGCAGAAACTTACGATTTAATCTCAGTTCCTACATTATCCGATTTAATATCCTCAAAGTATATACAGTCCATGAGCGCGGATTCTGCGGGCACGCTGATTCGCGGTACGCGTAATAGAATCAGCAAAATCAACATCCCGGCGGATGTTTGGCCGCCGGCGGAGATAGCGCAACGTATTTCCCGCGGGCTCGTCTCCCGGCGGCTTTTTAGGGATCAAACAAGCCCGATATTCTCAAATCCGCGTCGCGGCTTTCTCGGAATTCACAATCGCCGCGATACGGAAGTCAGGCGGAATATATTTTGCAAGACTTTCCGCGTCCTATTCTATATTTCTGCGGCGATTCTGTTACATCGATCGCTACAGTCGCCACAATACCGAAAAGTAGGAATCGAAAATCCTAAAGCCCGTATATCGGACTACGAATTGGTATTGAGATATTGGATTGAAATTTAATCAATCAGATCAGAAAAAACTGGTCTCAAGTTTAGTAAACTTTGCTCTGATTGGTCAAATTTCAATCCAATCTCAATCTCAATTCGTAGTCCGATACGGGCACAAGACGCAAATGTCGTATTAACGGACATAGAATTCCGTTAAGCGACGCTGCCCACGCAAACCAAGCGATCACGCTTTACGCGCGATTTTTCCATTCTCCCTTTTCTGTAATCGAACTTGACCGCATTCATACAATTTTGCGTTTAAAAAAAATCTTTCTCGCGCCTTGGAAATGTAAGCCAATATATGAAAATGTATTCTCCGTGTGTGTCACGCGAGGGATTATGCATACAAGGTTCGAGTTGCGCTTCTCTCAAAGTTCGTTTTTGCACAGAAAATATGTTTTGGCAACTCTCCGAAACATTGTTTCAACTGTATACGCTTGCATCTCATTAGCATTTCAGACCTTTAGACCTTTCAGACCTTTAGTAAACTATTGCTAGCGAAGGCCGAATTACGTTTGTTGCATGTGTAATTTGAGTCGTATCTAGATAGACAATGACAAATTTAACCGCAGTCTCATGAAAATAAAGAACATTGTTATCCACGAGAAAACACTACCGTAACACCGCACCGTTATCATAATTGAAAAAAATGATGAAATATTTGAGATATGTGTGAAAGAAATGTAAGTAACATGAATAATTCTGAATTATTTACGTATGAAACTTGCTACGTTACAGCATTTCGATTAATTAGCAGTTTGGATAATCGGCTTTCCATTGGCATTACGCTTGTCCATTGCAGGCTAAATGAACGAGCATAAAAATTATCCGAAATTGTATGTAATCTCGATACGCTATCATATGTATATATAATGTAGATTCATGGGGCACTTTATTTTCTGCTGGCACGCGAGGCTAATGAATCAGTTTGTGTAATAAAAATCCTCTTGCCCGAGGTATACTTAACTTGATTATCAATTGCGCTACTTTGCCGGGATTGCGCTCTTCAACGGGTCACACTAATGTTAATTTGAGTGCGTGGTTAATTTTGTTTGTCAAATGCTTTAGCAGCAATCGCGATGAAATTCGCAAAGAATCGACCTTAATTGAGCTCGATTTAAACCCACGATTAATTGGCTTGCCGTTGGAATATTTTGCGCTTTGAAGGATTTGATGTTGTTATTGCAGAATAATCTGACATTTAAAAACCTCCGGCTTGTCACCGTATCGGACTACAATATAACGTTACGTAATAGTGCGACAATTGAAACGGATGATTTCTTTTCCCTTTTGTCGCGTTCAATGGAAAACCTGTGAAATTGTACAAAACGCGGTTTTTTCGATTCGCAAATGATGAATATACATGTAACAACAAAAATAAAGAATCAAAAAATGAATATTGGACTCTCGAAATTAAATAAAAAACTGATAAAGGATGGCTATGAGAGTCAGACGCAGTTATCGGTGCGTAAAAGATCCAATTTACTGATTTGTTCAACAGTGTATATATTCGAACGTTTCGGCTCGGGATTGAGCCATCTTCAGCAAAATATACAAAAATTAATTAATAATTGCTCCCCTTCTCCATTCTTACTCAGTGAGTTTCACGATTAAAAGATCCAATAAAAATAATGAAGAACTCAAATAAATTAAAAAAAAGTAACTATAGCGATTATAAAGTTAATAGAGAAACAGCCTGTAGCGATTGTAGAATAGAGATATACATATTGTCTTGAGTTATTTTTAAAGCTACCTAAATATAGATACTTAAAGACTTCGCTTGTCTATCAGTCTATGTTATCAAGATGCAGAATAAATCGATGGGACGCATCGTGGATTTGCCTTGTCATCAGACGCGTTGTATCCGATAGTTCCTCAAACGTACAATAGATGGCCAGAGGATCTATATTTGTCTCGTGTTTAATTTCCGATATGCAAGGCTTATAAGACGCCGGTGTTGCACAGGCTGATCTAAAAGGGTGCTCGCTACTTCAATAGCGCGTCGTGTCGGTTAACCCCGTCATGATGGGGTATGGCCATCAAGACATACCCAGTACATAATTTTTGTGAACGCGAGGCTGTTGGCTGCCAATTACGCACCGGCGCCTCCACCTTAGTTCTCTTACAAAGTAAATGCTTGTACAATTACCACTGTGTTTTGAATGTTTAATTCAATCTCGAGCTGCTCAATTTAAATGCTATTATTTATAAGGGCTTTCCTTTAAAGGCTATTATTCCTTTAAAGGCTATTATTCCTTTAAAGGCTTTCCTTTAAAGGCTATTATTGCGTTAATAATTAAACAAACGCGGTCAGATATACGTTAAATACTATGAAGTATAGCTCGATGTAATGAGAGAAGACACGTAGAGGGAGTAAATTTTGCGTAATATTAAAATATTATAATCTTTCATGCGCAAACTTTGGAGCTATATTCGCATAAAATTTGAAGTAAATTGAATGCACAGGCGCGTACGTACATGAAAAATTTATTAAACATGTGCCGCTGGCTAAAACTTCTTAAAGGGAAAATTTTGCAAAATGCTACTAAACTTCTTTGAATTTAGTCGCGTCATTTTGGATATATAAAATGTATGTGCATATTAATACCACAGTCACTGAATCGCGATATTGCATTCTGTCAAAAGAGAAAAAGGGAGAAACTAAAACGTAGTATAACTAAACTTTGTGTTTACTTCAAAAAACAGAATATGTACCTTAACATCTCTGAAAACGCGAGTGAAATATGAATAATATTTGTATGAATATATATATATATATATATATATATATATATATATATATATAAAATATAAATAATAAATAGATATGAATTACTATTCCGTAATATTGTATTTTATTGAAAATTAAATTAAGACAGAATACGATTTTTTAATCAACGTAAACTGATGCATATTGAAAAATATCAGTGATTGATAACACTATCGGGAAGAAACTCTATCTTCATATAAAAAAATATTTTAGAAATGCAAAAAATGTTTTTTTCGTTCTCTAGAAAATTAAATTTTTTTAAATTAAAAAGTCGATACTTCTTTCTCTATTATAAAATGATAAAAATAACATTTAAAGAAGTAAAGAAATAATTTTTAAACCATTTAGTTAGAGAACTCAATTATTTTCTGTTATTTTTTTTTGTTATTTGAAAATAGAATACGCGGATTTTTTAATTCAATATTTTAAAAATTATTGTTAAGATATGTTACATTTTACTGCAGCCTTAAAAGTTATCAAACTTCTACTCTCTACCTAAAGCTTTCAAGTAACATTTATTATTATTCCGTTTCCTTTTTTTTTTGTTTCTCTTTTCGCGTTTATTGATCATTAAAAGTTGCCATTATAAGTTGTTGAAGTTCCAATACAAAAACCCATTTCTCCATCTTTATACATTAATTATATAGTCCTTTTGTTTATTATTTATTTTATTTATAAATTATTTTGTCAGTTATATATTTATTATCAACGAAATGGGCAATGAAAAAAATATTTTATTTCACTGATTAAAATGCATTTTATATTTTATTCTCGATTTTATTAAAAATATAAGCTCCGTAATGAATTATCTTTTACATAGTTAATTTAAAAAAAAAATGAAGATAAAATATATAATTTTGATTTTATTTAATTAATAATTTTGAATGCAATTAAGATACATGTATACAACATATTACAATCTGTGACGTATAAATTTAAATTAAATGCAAATTGTACGCATGATGTTAATATGACGGTGCGATG